ATGCCGATCCTCTGCTAAGCGTGGCGCATCATCCGAGGCGGTGTTTCTGCCTGGTGCTACCATCATCATAGAGCCTTACACTCATAATCTACCGTATATTGTCAGGAACATCCTCTGTCGCAATAATTGCCCAAGATTTCGTCGTCAACAGTGTTCAGTCTGCCCATACTCGGCGCCTGCTCCTCCAACCCCACCCTTATCTCTCCGCGACCGCTATCCGGGCTGATCCACGGCCCAATCCTCCCACCTTTCTCCATACCTGCAGCCGATATGCCTTCTGAACCCGGTTCCATACCGGAGACTCCTCGAGTCATTCCTCCTTCTCCCGCTTCGTCTGAGCGTCGATCAAGCTCGGGCGATTACTTTGGACCTACAACACGCTCCGCAGCACGACGGCAGCGACTTGGGGAGGTAACGGAAGAAACACCTGATACTTCAAACTCGGATTCGAAGCGTTCACGAGCGCGGTCTCGCAGCCCAAAATCTCCTGAGTCTACAAGGCGCCGTACCCGAAAATCTAACCCGAAGTTGCCCGCTGGAAAGCCCAAGAAACAGACGAATGGTCATGCGGAGTCCAACGGGTATCTATCACCTATCGCGAAACCCGGCGGCAGCTGGCACGACATCTCTCGATCACCTTCTCCTCTCGGTCTCATACCTCTCCACAGCCGTTATCGCTCCTTTATACACCGTCATGAGATCCCGCGCAAACTTCTCCATGTATCGATCGGCTTCCTAACCCTCAACTTGTACAGTCGCGGCATTCAAACCCTCCAGATTACACCATGGCTCTTCGGAGCTCTCGTACCGATAGCTACGGTAGATATCGTCCGTCACCATTCCACCAAGGTCAACAATATATATATCCGCTGCGTGGGGGCTTTGATGCGCGAGACAGAGGTTTCCGGCTACAACGGTGTGATCTGGTATCTTGTGGGCACATATGCAGTGCTGCGCTTCCTCCCCAAAGACGTCGGAGTCATGAGCGTACTGCTCCTCAGTTGGTGTGATACTGCAGCCTCCACATTCGGTCGTCTCTACGGCCGTTACACATTCCAGCTGCGCAAGGGCAAGAGCTTCGCTGGGACACTGGGAGCCTGGTTTGTGGGTGTCCTGACCGCAGCCGCATTCTGGGGATACTTCGTACCTTATATCGGAACCTTCCCCAATGACCCGGAGGGATCGTTCATGTTCACCGGTCAGCTTAACCTTCTTCCCAGCTCGATCAAGAACCTCATCGGCTGGACTGCGGACACCCCCAGCGCTGTCATTTCGGGCCCGTTGGCCCTCGGCGTTATGAGCGTCGTCTCGGGCTTAGTCGCCGCTGGAAGCGAGTTCGTGGACATCTTCGGCTGGGATGATAACCTTACTATTCCGATCTTGAGTGGTATCGGATTGTGGGGTTTCTTGAAGGTCTTTGGTTGAGCGAACTACTGCAGCTCATGCCGTTATACCTCCCCTTTTTTGTTCATTATCACAGCTCTGCCATGGCTTGGATAGTCGCTGAAGCGCGCGACAAGCCGCGAGCCGCAGCGTCGACTCATCATTCATTTCAACCCTCTTTTCCTTTTCCTCTGTTCAATTACCTACCTATCCTGTCTATTTCTTATACATACACCCGATTACCCCATGACCAACTACATCACCACTCCTCTTCTCTTTGAGCTCTCACTCGATTACCCCCCTGTTTTGCACTACTCTGAAGGGGAAAGACTTTGGAAATAATTACTTTGGCCCGCAGAAGGACTTTTGTTTAATGATCACTTAGATAGATATCCTGGATCGGCGTGGCTTTGGCGCTTGCAAATCTACACAAACACACGGGCTACTATTTACTTTTAATATCCTGTATAGATGTTGTAATGACGTGCAGTGACTACTTTCCTCATGAAATCTGATATGTCCAGACTTTGATGTATACCATGACTTACATGCCAGTGTAAGAAGAACATTATTCGACTCGGGATTGGGTCCCGAAAGCGATGCGCCTATAATGCATGTCCAAGAGATTAGAGTAAGGCAAGACTTGGATCAAGTATAGTATAAGACCAATGCACGATTTTCTCATTGCTGCTCAAGTCAAGTCCAAGATGCTCACACGGGCGATCCGCTTCTTCTTGCCGCGACTGGTTTGAGTGTCGGTCGTACTTGCAGCTTCTGCAGATCCAGTTTTTGAGCTAGTGTCTGTCGTCCAGAACCCGTCGTGTACGACAACAGATTCAATGTGTGAGACTGTCGACGGACAGTCGTCTGGTTTTCCAGAAGATTTGCCTTTCCGAGGCTTGAGCTCCGTGGGCTCGCTCACTGAGGACAATGTTTGTGTTCGACTCCAGGGATTCTCACGATCCCGGCGCTTTCTTGTATCTACAGCATTATCTTCTTCTGATATCAAAACAGGCTCGCCGTTCTCCACAGAAGGCGAAGGGCGGGCAATGCGCTCAGCGGCCCCAGCAGGGCCCGACCTGGTGTTACACACCTTCTTCTGGCGCGAGCTTCTTCGAGGCATGGGCCCAATGTCGTCTAGGCATATGGGTTCTGTGGCGGTTTTGCGCGCTTGCGCGTCATCCAATGCTATGGAAGATATCGCTCGTTGTAGTTCGTCAACCTCGCAAGAAGACTTCAGTTTGTCTCCTTTGCGCCGGGGTTTCGATGCATTTTGGCGGCCTGCATGGTTAGGAGATATCGAACGAAGTGCAGGCTTCTTGTCGTCTGTCGCATCCCCCTTCCGCGTACAACGTTTTGAACTTGATTGAGCATTCTTCTTGGTCGGCGAAAGAGCTGGAGAACTCTCTGCGGAAGACAATTTCTTTGTCTTTCCGGTGGCATCTGTCAAAGCAGGTTGTCTTCCAGCTCTGCCGCGTGCTCGGGTGGTTCTGGGTGACTGCTGTTCGATAGTTGTGTAGGACGGTGCATGACTCAATGAAGAAAATTGGTCGATTAGATCATCAAGGCTCGGCGAATCGTCACTTGAGTCAGTCGATGGCTGCTGCTGTATAGATATGTCAGACGGTGATAGCTTCCTTGACAGATTAGGAGAATCTTGAGACTGACGGGAACTCGACAGGCTGGGTACAGCAGTTGCTTTGGCCGAGACTGCTGCCTCTAAGAGCTGCGCACTTTTGTGGCGGGATATTTCGGTTCGCTCCTTCGTGAGGGTTCCATATTTCAAGATGCTACCTCGCTTCATGTTCGGGTCTATAGGCCCTTTTTTCCTAGGCCCTGTCTTTCGCGTCGCTGTTTTCTTCGGTGCCGACTTCTCAGCTTGCTCTCGTTCCCAGTTCTTCACGACTTCTGGGAGACCTATCGTGGCTATGGTTTCGAATACCCACACCTTTTCAGAGGCATAAGGATCATAGCGCTTTATGACACGTTTCTTTACCGGGGATTGAGGCACAGATACCGCATTATCCTCCAGTTCCTCTTCCTCGTCCCCTGAGGCCGTCGACTCTTGAGAAGGAAGTGGAGGATTTGGCTCATCCGCAAGAATGTCCAAGCCAACAATGTCGACAGGAATCATATCCAGCTGAAACTCCGTCAAGCCGTCGGTACTATAGCTCGATCTGCTTTTATAGATCTTTTGCAGCATCGGCGTGTTGCTGTTCGACAACGTAGGGCAGTTCGCGGGAAATGCTGATGCTTGTCTTCCAAGGCGTAGTCGGTAGGACAGAAGCGGCTCAGAAAGTAATCTGGTCACTTTTCTAGCCCCAGAGCGGTAATTCCACTCAAAGGCGTCGGCAGCAAATCTCCTCAGTTCAACAACGTCTATGTCCTTGTCCCAAGCATTTGAGAGGTTATGTTGAAGGGTTCTGATGTCGCCTGTCGAAGAAACCACAGGATTTGCATAATATGACAAAATCGTCCGATCAGGAAAAGTGTCGGGAATTCGGACAGCCTTGTGCTTGGTCTGGAAGTAACCACTTTCGTTTTCTTCCAACTCATACTGGAGTCGTTCTCTCCAATCGCTTAGTCTGGCATCGAGCTCGGCGCCATCTGACTCAAGAATTTCAAGAAGATCTGCGCCAAAGCCAGCTTTGGCAATCTCGCCAGCGAGCTTGCTACCGCATTTAGGGACCCCCGACGGCAAGTAATCACCTCCACTCAACATGGCAAACAAGATCATGCCTGCACGATCAAGCTTCACACTTGAAGCATCACCAGCGGTGTTCATGCGGTAGCAGGTAACATGGGTTGCAGCCCCGGTGCTGCTGCCACTTTCCTTGGAAAAGCCCATGACGGTAAATGTTGAGCCAAACATAAGAGCGTCAACGTCATTGGTCATGACTGCATCAACAACTCCTGCTCTTTGCAGTCTTGCACACTCTGCTTCTGCCTCTCCTGGCGCCTCGTGACGCGGAAATCTGAACAGATCGACTAAGATCTTGGAGAGCCGAATGATTGGTGCACTTCCGTAACTGCGACTTGACACGGCTTTGCCTCTCTTGAAAGGCGGCTTGTTTTTGCCATCATATACAAAAAGGGGATGGATTGGAAGCGCTAAAATCTTCAACAGTCTGTAAAACAATGTTCGTAGCTCGGGGTTTCGACCACCCCGGCCAGCTTGCACTTGGAACAGCCATATCGAGATGTCCACAGCAATACGAATAGGCCTTGCTGTGCGCTCCAAATGGGTTATGGCCAATCTTGACAAGGAGATACGTTCACCAGCGCCGATGGCATGGATCAGCCTTTGTGGTCAGTGGATTAGCCGTTGAACTACTTGAATGAGTACTGTTTGCGCACTGGAAAGGGATAATATATTTCTCTCCCAAGTAAAGTTTCACAAAACAGCACCTACAAAACTGGCTGACTTACCCCGGAATCCCCATTCGGACAGCCTCCCTTCTTCCCAACTGTCAAAACCCAAAATACCAATAGAAACAAAATTGCACTGCAGCTCAGGTTCTCTCTGATGGCGAATACTTAATGCAGCGATGAGAGTTGTTTGTTGACGGCGGCAACTGGGCGACGCGGCCCGATGTAGATCCGCCCGCCCAGAGCCTCCGCAGATTGTCGCGGCTTCCTTTTCGAGCTCGCCAATCGCCAATCGCCAATTGCCCCCAATTCGGGAGTCTTTTGCTTAAGTGGAAAATCTGCTGGCAGAAGGTATGATCTAAGCCTTCTCATTTCAAGCGCATCGGTTGAGAGGAAGTATGATCTGCGCGGGGCCCCTGAAGCAAGTTGACTTCTATCTCCGATCCTTCCCCGCGATTTCCATAGAGCAGCGACCTTTGCGACTGTCTCAGCAACTCATTCGGACGACGACATGACAAGTACATCCTCCACCTCCGCTTTCGACGATAGGCGACCCATATCCATGAACTTCCGGCACAGCCAATCTGGGAGACCTGATTCGCCCCATACGCCCCAACATCACCTCCGTTCCAATAATTCTTCCTTTGCAAGCACCTCCTCCGCAAGCACATCATTTCGCGGAGAAGAAGATGCTATCATATTCGAATTTGGAGCAAGATGGCTTCGGGCAGGGTTTGAGGGAGAAAGTACTCCAATGTGTGTGGTTGGATGCGGTCCGGAGGAGTCGAGAAGGGTTGGCGATTACAGAGGGTGGTTGAGAAGCAACGAGACGGACTCATCACGCTCGCAACCGGTCAAAGCTGATGAATGGGCTGGTGCATATGAACTCTGGAAGATGGATGTACGCGATATGGATATGGCACTCATTGACGACAAGATCGAGCGCATGTTTCGCGAGACCTACAATAAATACCTGTTGACGGATGCGGGAACATCACGACTGGTTCTGGTTCTTCCGTCTATCATGCCACACCCTCTCCTATCATCGCTTTTGTCAACCCTGTTTAGCCGTTGGCGGTTTCCAAGCATCACCCTTTTGACCAGTGCTCCTATGGCCGTGGTCGCAGCTGGGCTGCGTTCAGGCTTGGTAGTGGATATTGGATGGGCGGAAACCGTTGTCAGCGGTATCTACGAATACAGAGAGATGGCTGTCAAGCGCAGCACGAGGGCTATGAAGTCCCTACTGCAGGAAACTGGACGGTTCCTGACACGACTCTCCGATGATAGCGGGGCCGCGCAATCGGCGGACGAAATTTCCGTTCATTATGAGCTCTGCGAAGAAATTGCTAGTCGGTTCCTGTGGTGTAAGCCTAAGGCGGCTTCTCAAGGCTCCGCGGCGACACCGCAGCAACAGCCTGCCGAGGCACGAGAGGAGGATGCTGGAGTGGCTGACCAACACCCTATTTCACACTCAGATGCAACGGTGTCGCTTCCCTCCCCGTCAGGTTCAGGATCAACCTACATCGACCTTCCTTTCTCCAAGCTCGCGGAACCGGTGGAAAAGGTTCTCTTTGCGGAGGGCTTAGCCGATTGCGAGTTGGACGACGAGGAAAAACCGTTGCCGTTGTTGGTGTATCATGCCCTGCTTAGCCTGCCTCCCGATGTCCGCGGCACGTGCATGTCGCGTATTGTTTTCATTGGTGGAGGCTCCAATATCCCTGGTGTCCGACAGCGCATCCTCCAGGACGTGGCGTTCCTGGTGGAAAAGTATGGCTGGTCACCTGTCCGCGGCAAGGTTATCGAGCAGCAACGCCAAAAGCTTGAGAGCCTAAGACTCTCTCAACCAACCAAGCCGACTGTCACAAAGCAGGAGGGTGAAAACGATACCCCCGATACTGCTGCTGAGCGATCAATCCCAGATGCACAAGCAGAAGAAGAGATCGACCCCATCGAGCAAAAGATCCGCCGTAATAATAAAGACAAGGACGCCCACCCGCCCGTCCAAGGTGTCCTGCGGGAGGTCGAATCCCTTGGACCCTGGGCAGGAGCCAGCCTTCTCACGAGTCTCAAGATCCGGGGCTTAGTCGAGATTGAGCGGGAAAAATACCTCCAACATGGCCTCGCAGGAGCTAGTCGGGATCTGGAGCATGGGCATGCTCCTGATAGGCGCTCGGGGTTACGCACGGGAGGCGACCGGTCTAGTTGGACTTTGGCTGGCTGGGGTTGAATCTAGTCTCATTTCCCCCGCATGGCCACGCTAATTCATGCGGCCTGGTCAGACAAGCATCAGATATTGGGGATTCGAAAATTTTTTCCATCGTTGTCTATTTTCCCCCCTCCCCCTACGGAGTAGTGCTGACCGCACCACCCTGAACTCACTCTGATTTTGTTCTCACTGAGATTGTCGAAGCAGTTAGCAGTAGATACGATACCCGTTAGAGTCTTACAGCAAATTTATTAGCAATGTCTTTTCTTCCTATTATTATTCTTTGAGCATTCTTAAACACTCAATAAACTTTCTTTGTACGTGCCATTGCTAGTCCGCATAAAGACAAGATGGCGCATCAGATTATGTACACACGGTCGTGGATTTCTAGAGCACGTAATCAGGTCCCCCTCAATCCTTCCTCAAATCTTCTCCCCCACTTACACCGTACCAAACTGGTAAGTAGCCCAGTTAACAGCAGGACCCGTCTCAGGAGAATAGATCTGGTCCGACAATTGACCCCACTGAGGGTTGTTAATACCATCAATCCAGCCCTCAGTCTCAATGACAATGCAACCATGCTGGTTGACGTATTCAGCGCCATCGACACCCTCGGCCTTGTTGCGCTGGACTTGCGATTGCTTGACGGGGATGGTGCCGTTCTGGCCGTTGCAAGAGTAGATCTGGAGAGCTTGCTGGTTGGTAGCGACGTCGAGGCTGATTCCGGTGGTGCTGGAGTTCATGTGGACGATCGGGACGATGGAGTTACGAGCTGCGTATTGAGGAGGCCGATCTACGATGAAGCAGTTGTCGTAGCCGGTGCAGTCATCGCCGCAGAGTCCGTCGGCTTTCGCGATGTCTTGGCCGACGAGTTTGCCGGAGACGAAGTCCGGGGCGCTGTCGTAGACGTTGACGTCGAGGATGGTGCCGTTGGGAATTAGGATGCCGTCTGTGCCGATCAGGCGCTTGGAGAGTGGCAGCTGGAGCCAGGTGTCTTTGAGGACGGTCTCGTCCTTGAAGGCGTTCAGGTTCCAGTAGATGTGGTTGGCAAGCATGATTGGGGTTGTCTCAGTCAAGGCAAGGGAGACGAGTTTGGTGGTCAATTGAGGGAGACCTTGGGGGTTCTCGGGGGTGACTTTGGTTTGCACACTGAATGTGGCATGGGTGATGACGTCTCCGGGGAAGTCTTCGAAGGCACGGTCAACCAGGGTGAATGTGATGGAGGAATTGCTGTACGCGGTCACGGTCCAGTTGCGCTGGTCGTAGCCTACGGTACCTCCGTGGAGCGTGTCTTCACCGTCATTTTCGTTCTCGGGGATATGGTACACATCTGAACCGATCGAGAACGTGCCGTTCTTGATGCGGTTGGCGTATCGGCCGACGACGGCACCGAAGTAGGTGTGGTTGGTCTCGGAGTCCTTAAGATACTGCTTTGGGTCGTCGTAGCCGACGACGACATCCTGGAAGTTGCCGTCGCGGTCAGGGACGAGGAGAGAAGTCAAGCGTGCTCCGTAGGGGATGAGCTTGGCCGTGATGTTCTCTGCGCTGATAGTGTAGAGTTGGAACGGGTCCCCTGTGGACTTGGCAGCAGCAACTTGGGTCAGTGCTGGCAGGCCGTACAGAACGGCAGACAGGTAGCTTCTAACGTGCATTCTGACGCCTAGGAGAATGGTAACGAGGAGGAAGAAGCAGCAGTATATGACCAAGATACGAGGGGTGATCCGGGCAGGGCAGAGCAGAGAGCGGCAGCAGCCAAGAAGCTGGAGAGGTCCCTGGCCGGATCTGGTGGAAGGTCTCATAGTATTTATTTACAGTGAAAGTGTATTTTTTTTTACCTCATGATGGCGCGCCTGACCAGCGGGCGGGGGAAACCAATGCGCAGGGACCGAGAAACTGGGGTAGGAATGCAGCTAATTCCTGGATTGATGTTTAGCTCATTCACAAAATACCCGAGCAAAGGCGTCATCTTACCAAGACGTAAACTAAGGTAAGTGTGCCAGGGGTCTGGAGCCAAAAAGCATGGGTGACTGTGCTTCGTACTCCCTATAGTGTACTAGTAGCTGTCAATTGCTCCTGGGGCTGGGCCAATGGTGTAGGGCGGGAGAAATTGGTCCGGGTCTGACCACAGTCTGAGCGCAAATGAAAAGATCGGATAAAGTGAGTGAATTGGGCCGAAGAAGCTAGGATCAACAGGTTTCTGGCCGAACGAGGGCGAGCGTGGTGGTGAGATGTGATCCCCTTAGTCTGGAGGCTAAACTATCAATCTGGTAGTAGCGCAAAATGAAGCCACGGAAGACATTCCAAGCCCCAGGAATGGTGCTAGTCTTCTTCGGGAAAGTCCCGGCGGGGGAAGAGCTAGAGGTTGCGGGGAAGGCAACCGGCCTGTCGATCATCGGTTTCTCTCTCTTTGCCTTTGCTCACTCTTACGAGGTGACATCCTGCTATGACTGGAGGTGCCATTCAGACGTGGTTCAGTACATTATGGACAAAGCTAGAATAAACGTATCACTGACAGCAGCATCACCAGCATTCAGGCGGGGAGGAAACAAGGTATGGACAATAAAGATTACTCTATAGGGTTTATTGTTAGGGATGGCAGTTATGGGTCCAGATTGCTGTTTGGGTACTTCTGCCGCTCCGTACTCACTCGGCAAGGAACAACAATCCTGCCGGATAACCTAAGCATCTTCCCTGCCGGTCGCTGGGGCTGCCTGATCGGGAGACTTGTTTATGTTATGCGACGATTTTATCAGATCTCCTACAGATTAAGAAACTGTTTTTGGTGGCCGAAACCGTGTCTGGGTAATCTGCTTCCAGACGCGACGACTAACCTTACCTTCAAGGACCGAATATGAAAGTGTCCGACTAGCAAAGCCGATTGAAGTGTTTGAATCCGGTGTCGTCCCTATGAGACGCGACGGGGGGTCACAAATCACCCCTCACATGCGTCGCATCGTTGTTTCCCTATCGATATGTCCTCCCGCACCTCCAGTTCTTCTCCGGACATTCTTGGGCCACCTGGCGACGCTGATTATTTGATCTCCTCCCCGTTTGTCCCCTTCTCGGGTCGCCAAAGCTTCATGTCGCCCGCCAACTTCCGCCTCCTGCAAAGCCCGCGGACGGCGAAGGGCAAAAGGCGGTCGCGTGTGAGTTTGAGCCCTTCGAAAAACGCCCACTCCATAAAGTTCAATGACGTTGTGCTACCTGCCTCCCCGACGACGAAACTGAACGGCCAGCGCGGTGGAATGTCTCCCGATAAGGGTCCGGCCGACGGGAATGTCAGTCCGTGGAGGATTCGGGTAACGCTCGAAGCGACACAAGATGAAGAGACCAACCAAGGCAGCCCTTCGCGAAAACGTTTGAAGCCATCAACGACAACGATGAAAGTACCCCTCAAAGACGATACAGAACAGACCCCCCGCAGACGCAGAGGTCGCCCAAGGAAGTCCGACATTTGGCTGCAGGATGCGACTCCACGCGGAGGTAGTCCAGGACATACACCAGGCCCTGGACATACCCCGGGTCCAGGGCATACTCCTGGTCCTGGGGGGACAGGTCAAAAGAGAAAACGAGGCCGGCCGAGGAAAAGCGCACCGGCGCTCGATGTGGTAGAACCAAGCGAACAGCAGGTGGAAAGTCAAGAGGTTGAACAAGAGGCGCTGATAGAGCCCGAGCAGAGATGGAGTCCGTTGAATCTGGCAGCAGACCCGGGATCTGATGATGACATTGGGGGGGATCAAGGACTCGAGGTCAATGACGATTTTGGTTATGGCGACCGATTGGAACTACCTGATTCCGCTATCCGCGATGGGACTGCTCCCCGAGTGACATTCGAGCAAACTTTTGAGACTCCAAATGTTGACCATGTCGACCAAGGATTTACGGAGAACGACGAGTATAACCTACATTCAACACCTTCCAAGATGCCATCCCCAACCCGCGATACCTCGATAATCTCGCCAGCGAACACATTGCATGCCGGCCGCACCCCGAGACCATCACGCCTTTATCCCACACCAACCTCATCATCTGCAGCAGAAGAAGATAAGACAGAGCAGGCTCAGAAAACTAGTGCTACCTATGATAGGGATCACCTTGAGAGCGGGGCACGCCTCAGCGCAGATCCGACCGAGGAACACAGGGAGTTTGACTCTATAATGGAAAGTGAAGGGTTCAGCATGGTCTCACTGGATACATTGCCGTCCGCTAAACAACATGAGATTAAGAGCGCGAGCCACTCCCAAGCCGCCAAGAGTTCTCTAAAGCCTTTCTTAGAACGGGAATCAAATGGCGTCTTGAAGCGAAGAACCTCGGCGGTCCAGAATCAACAAGAGAACAATTCTGTCCGGAAGGCCCGGTCGGACTCCAAGCAACGGAAACAGTCACCAGCCCAGCTGTTCACCCAGTCAAGCGAGGCCAATGCCCACTTAGACCGTCCATCATCCCAAGACAGGCTCGAACCTTCCAGAGACATGCCCGGATCAACGGCGATGTCATCTGAGTCGACTTTTACTGGACAAAAGCGGGGGCCGTTGACTAGGTTCGTCAGAATAGTTCGTGCAGGCTTAGCTCTCGAAGGGCCTCTAAGAAACTCAGAAGAGGGGCAATCTTCGTACCAGTCAAACTCAAGAAGGCTTAGCTCCTCGGGTGATCCAGATTCTATGCTGGACACGTCTAGGAAAAGGCTGGAACATGTTTTTGGGGACTTGACCCCACAAGTACAACAAGAGCTGCAGGCAGGCTTGGCATTTGGGCAGGCACTCGCAAAGAGGCGAATCGAGAGAGAAATGGAACAACGCAGACAAATGGAGTTGGAGGAGGTGACTGCAAGAAACACTGCTCGGGAAAGCAGGGAATGGAGTGGCTCCAGTTCACCACAGCAAACACCGCCTAAGACCACCGACTATGGCACGCCGGGCACGTTTATGAGACGGCGAATGGAAGAATGGCAACGGGAAAGGGAAGCTATCAGTCGAGAGATCCAGATGGCAAATTCTAGCCAGGTCATCGTCATTGACAGCGACGATAATGATCAGTCGAATATGCAAGATGGCATGTATGAAGACGGCGATGAGATTGAGTATGCGGCGGAACCCGTTCAAGACGATCAAGATGACGACACCCACGTAGAGGCCGAGCGCCTAGATGGGGAAGACGAGGATGATGGCTACGAAGATATTTGGCAGCAAGAAGCTCGCAGTCAAGGCAACCAATCAGATCATTCTTCACTACTTGAGGATGACCAGGATGGTGAGCACCTTAGACAGGATGAGTCTAGCCCGTGGAAGAGTGGCTGGACTCCTGCTCGGAATCAGAATGACAAGATCTTATCGCCGGCTCATTGGACAAACGAGCGGGAGACTGTGCCATTCTTGGGCCGGTCGAGGGTCAAACAGTTACAGGAGCAAGAAGTTGATTTGACGGCTCTGTACCGTGCCCAGGACACACCAAAGCGTCGCCACTACTACTATGGGAAAAGCAGTCCGCCGAGCAGTGCAATACGAGGCTCTGTAGGCCGTTCGCCAGCGTCTGTGGTACAAGAGGAGCACTATGAGCATGATTTCAACCAGGATCAACAGTCAGAGGGCTACGTGGAGTCCAGCCCTCGCCGGGACTCGGAGGATGAAACATTCCAGATCGATCCGACAACCAGATTGGAGATGGCTAGACAACGCCAAGACCCTGGGATGGAAGTCAACAAGATTGGGGGGGTGTCAGATGCCGTTACATCCGAGAGACAAACTGCTCCAGAGGTGGGAGACATCACGCCGGAACGTCCACAGCATGCAAGCCCTGGCAGTCAAGCATCATCCTGGTTCCAGAAAATCACTAATTTCACGCCTGGTTGGCTCAGAGCACCGAAGTTTGAACAGCAAGGGCGGGGTCTGGAAGATCCTTCGGGCGACGAAGATGATGAACCGCCCGCCGTTGAGTCAGCGCATGATAGATATGATAATGAGGATTATGGCGATGATGAAGTCAACTGGGGAGACTTGGGGGAAACCCCGCGACCTACTCGATTTGAAGAGGCAGAAGATGGGAAACAGAGTTTCGCTCGTTCCGAGTCTTTCCATGCGGACGACGATGCGCACGCTTCACTGGACGAGAAGGGTGACAGAGAAGAAGTAGTGGAGGGGCAGGCTTCACGAGAGCAATCGCCTTCGTCCTTTCCCTTGTACTTTTCCGATGATCACTACCGCTTGCTGCATCGCCTCTATCGCTCGGCCAAACTGTATCCTGAGCGCTTCCCTTACCATCCGGCGCCTGGCCGCTCCGATATGATTGGCGACTGGATCTGGACCTCGGATGGAGTCTACGGAGTGCCAGTCACAGAGCTTCAGTTTGGCATAGTTGATAGATTTGCGCAGCAGCTATCCCAAGCCGATTCAAAGGCCGGCGGAACGGGTCAGATTCCTTGGACGGAAGCTGACGTTCACAGACGATTGATCAGTATCATTATCGGGGAACAGATCAGACAAGACCAGAGGGAGAGGAGGCTCCACGAGGATCAACTGAGGGAAGAGTATTCGCGAAGCAGGGACACAGCGTACGGGACGTGGCGCATATGACTTCTCAAACCTGCACGTCGCTTGGCTCCTGCCGCCTGAACTCGGCACACTACATCTATTTTTTGAGTACAGACTTTGTTGGCACACAAAGTTAGCACACGTTGTAACGACTTATATTCTTGCTTTTCTTGTTGAGAGGATACGTTGTTTCGGGTCTTCACGGGTGGCGAACCAGCGGAATTGATCTTGAGGGTCATTGGGTGGCAGGCTCACTTTACGTTTTGGCCTTATGTTCTTGTACAGCATGTATTTTGTCTACGTACTATTCCCCCTCTGTTTCATTTGTCTTGGACTCTCCACACCCGATTGGATCTCCATGAGTCAGCTGCCAAACAATTTTTTCATTTCTTACTCGTTTATATGTTGGAATGGAACGCAACAACACCATTGGTGTATGCAGCACATATGGTTCCCTACTTTGGCAAAAGAGCGCACCTGTCAGCCAGGTTCGGAAGACAATTGTTTGGCCTGGAACCTGATTCGCAGAATTGACTTTCTAGTGCCCCTGTATAGACCAATGAATGCGGCACAGTTGACCGATCTCCATGGAACGTGTCGTGCTGCGGGCATCGGTGTTTGCTCTGTGACGTCCGCAACGTCCTGTCAACTTGGTGAGTTTCTCAACCTTTCGACCCTATTCCTTTCTGGGTCGTGGTCGAGTAACGCTCCTACTGCCACGTTTACTTCTCCACGGGGTGGCTACATAGTAGTTTCACGGAAATAGTAGCAGTCACAAAAACGGGGTTGACCTGCCACCTGCCAACTACTACTTACTTCATGGTCTGACGAACTCGAGGTACATCATCGTCGCTCATTGGTCCCAACATTGTAGTTCTGACTGCACAGTGCAGACATCCTGGAGCGCCAGCCAAGCGGAAGCAGGCGACATACGAGCCTAGCCCCATTTTAGAAGCCTGATGTCGGGTTGTGTTTCCTATGGCGCCTAAAACCGGATTACCTGGCCGCCTCGGGTAAGGAAAGTATGCAGGGCGAGAAACGAAGGTATCGTAGTAGTAAACCGATCCCCGAAGTGATAGATGCATCGGGTGCCGTTGGTAGTAAGTAGTTAGTAGTTGTAGTAGTAGTTGACCGGGTCGATATGATGTATATAAAAAGGGGGATTTCCAAATGGCCTGTAGTATATACACAATCTATTGTGTGTGTCTGTGTCTGTCTGTGTGTGTGCCTGAGTTCAGTTACAACTGTTCAAACAGTTCTGTCAGCTTAGCCAAAGTGAACTGCAACGGTCAAGTCCACCACCATACTACTGCCGTCCAGTCCCTTTGGATCGATAAGCAAAGAACAGATCAGCAGGAAGATCAGGCAGACAGAATTTACATTTTGTATATGTACGGAAAAGAAAAAGAAAAAGGGAAAATGGGGGTCAGCAATCCAGTCAAGTATGTCTTGCGCCTGTCCCTGTTCACCAACAAGCGAACCGAGCAACAACAACGACAGCATCGACAAAATCACTCCCCTTCCTCCATCTCCCCGATTTCTCCCATCTCCCCCTCCTCTACCTGGAAAGGGAAAGAAATTGACTCTGACCCGCCCATCGAGGTTCGCTGGGGCGCTGTGCAGTACCCAGATGACTATGCAGCATTGACCGATGGTCATGCCCACATGGCGGTGAGCGCAATCGACTCGCATCTGGGCAGCAGCAACAGCAGCAGCAGCAGTAGCCGCAGCAGAAGCAGCGGTAGCAGTAGTCGGACGGGGTTGGTGCGCATCGCCAGCTGGGCCAGTCTGGCTGGAGATCGATGTCGGTGGACGATGGAACAGGAACGGAAATTGGCGATTGCGAGAAGCGAACTGGCTCGATGTCAGAAAGCTTGGAGTTCGGAGCAGGAATTGTGGATTGCTCAAGTATGTTTCATCCCCTTTCTCTTTCAGCATTGTTTCAATAAATCTCTTGTTGGGATTTTCATTCTTTCTGTGTGTGTGCTTTGCTCTTGCTTGTTCACTGTTGTGAGACAAACAAATCTATACCCCTGTCTGTCTGACTTTCACCGATCGAATGAGCACCACCCCCCCTCCACACCTCCCCATCTCACACATTCACGGGACATGACATACAGCAGACCCTGCTGTACCTGCATATGACTAACCTTTTCACGTATCTACGTAAACCAGATCGAAAAGTTGCACGAGGAGAAAGAAGCCCACGAACAGTTCATCCACCACCGAGCGAAACAACAGGACGAAGAGCAGCAGCATTTTCGCAAATCCTGGATTCGACGGAAGTCTTACGAAGAGCAGCAGCAACAACAGCAGCAGCAACAGGTTGCCCCTACTACGCAAAGGACTAATAGTCGATTGCGGCGGATACGGCGCATGGGATCATAGTTATGTTAGGGTCGTCGGAAGTATAGTGCCTCGCTAGGCTCAAAAGTAAGTAGATAGTCTATGGAGCTTTCGACGTCATGATTGGCAAAGACGTGAAACGATAACCATTTCTGACAGGTGATTTTCTGTTGATCGATCCTTTTTCTCGCTGGTCAGGAATTAGGTGTTTAACGTCATTTTTCCGACTTCGTCTGTGTGTCTGAATGTGTCTTTTTCTAATTGCGATCAGCTCTGCAAGGCAACCCATTTTGGACAAAAAATGAGGAAGGCAGGAAAAGATAATGAAGAAAAGCACAGAAGGATGAAAAGGAAAAAGGGGGAAGAGACGAGAATTTTGTCCATGATGACCTCCTGCATGAATGGCTTGAACTAGTTCTGAGGCTTGGGCTTGTGGGTTTTATTTTCGTCTCTCTCTCTCTCTCTCCCTCCCCCCTTATACCGTCCATCTTACTCTTTTCTTCGCTGTCGATCCAGCTGGCTGCGCATCTTGATCTTCCCGTTGGCTCCGGAAAAGGATTTTTTTCTGTTGAGCAGGGAATCGAACAAGGAAGGAGGAAGAAAAAGAAAACAATAAATGCAATACTTCGCACAAGCATGGCTTTTTTTCCCGGACTTAGGGGCGATCCTGCTGCATGGAATGATCATCTGGCTGCACATCGATCATTCTTTAGAGTAGAGCATGGTATTGAAGGCGGATGGCATGCCTTCTCTGCTTCATCGAGAGCGAGGTCACTGGGTATAGAGGGTTTCTCCATAGATACTTACCTCTGTCATAGTATGGTCTATAGACTCTACATCAGGCAGGGGTGGTATTTCCTGGAGGCTCTGGTTAATTAGATATAGTCTGCTTACTACAACTGAAGAAGGCTCGCAAGATAAGTCCGCAAATTCCGCGGCAAAATACTACTATAACCGCGCCACGCCATATCAAAATCAATGGCTTAGTTCCTGTCACCCTGCAACAACCTAGCCATGTCAAGTGAAGACACTAACTTAGTAGAACCGAAGCTACCCCGGCGGACCGGCGAGTACCGCGCGAGCCCCCGAGATAAGCAGGAAGGAGGGCGGCGAAGATCGAAAATTTGGGGCTTGTCTACTTGAGACGTGCGGACCGGCGAACTACTGTACGTACCTTTTTATCTCCCTCTAACCTCATGATAGTCTCCATTTTGCGAACATAAGTACAAAGTAGGCTACTGTAAGCCTTATCATAAGGTTGAGCGAGGTTCAAGTATGGATACAGAGCGCGGGCCACTTTTGCCCCAGCCACTTGTTCAGGCTGTGTATGTGTGTTGTTGGCTATGTGGTTCTGCACTATTTGCACAGAGGACCAGAAAACACCTATTGAAAGCATTCATATGATGGATCATATTCAAGCCCTCCTTTTCCGTTCCCATGGATGAATAACTGGACAATGGCAATGCAAGTAAGCAATGGGCTTATCTCGGGAGTCGTGACTAATGGCGGGATTTTCATGAGTAAACTTTGCCTGTCCAACTGTCAACTGATAAGCTTGCATCCCGAACCCTCCAGGGATGACGCATAGTCTGCCCGATCCGGGAACCCTGCCTCGGACTTTTTCACATAGTATCTATCTTCCTTTTCCCTATCTTTAGGGAGCTTTTTTTTCTTTGTTTTAATTTTTATTTTTCCGTATCCCCCTCATAGTGTCTCCGAATGTCGTGTATCGTACCCTCTTTAGCTTTGATTTTTTGTGCGCAGTGGCTGTTGTTGGTCTTGTGGTACTAGCTATGTATGGTACTTGTTGAGTAGTAAGTTATTGCAGGCGCCTAAGAGTCGGGATAGATAGGTAGGTAGTTAGTTGTCTTGCCTCTTTCTCTCGATCAACGCCACGTCACATTGCTTTTTATTTATCAAGAAGGATGCGCCTGACGATCGGCTCGATGGATGCAAGACAGATTCTAGTAGAAGAATGATGGCTCACAATGGGCTTGTTACTTATCAATTCGATAGGTGTCGGTGGCCATGGTGAGGCGATGGTAGACTTACAGACAGTATTTACTATAGACAGTAAACAATGATGATGATTCCCAAAAAGAGAAAAAAAAAAGAAGTAGTAGTTCGGCATGACTCGAGACCCGTGATCCGGGAATTCGAGTCACGCTTTGGTCGGTGCTGTTTATCGCGTGGGTTTTATTCCTTTTCTGCATTGAAACTTCCTTCATTGGAAGGAGAGGATCGAGTCCACGCACGCCTTGTATTCCATTCATTCCCCTAATTGTTTCTTTTCCTCTCGGGTCATCACTACTCTATCATTATTCTGCCCCAGCTAAGTATCGACTAAAGAGTTAGCTTCCCTCCTTCCGAACTCTAAGGACTATACTAGATAGATTCCGCTCTCCTCACTTTGGAGGAAACCCCCACTCCTTAACGGCTTTGAGAATCTCTTTCGCCAGGTTCCTCACTGTCGGAGCCGGCCTACGGGGCCGTTGCCACTCTCTTGGAGAACCCCCGGCCATTCATCCATCCTCTCAAGCATCTCCGTTCGGGGCACTGGGACCCTCTACTAGGCTGGTACTTCGTACCCATGGTCGAGCTTGGTTCCTCGGGTGCACTTTCTTTTTCGTATGCTCGTTCCTTTTGCCTGGATGGCCGCTAGGAGCATGTGGTCCCATGTTCGGAATTGATTGTTATCATCACTGTGGAACTGGCACCATGTCCACAGGAAAAGTACCACCCCTCCTTTAGGTTTCTGATTTTCTTTTCCCCGTTCTACAATCCCGGAATATACTACTATCGAATGGATCCTTTCAATAATACCGTGAATATCCCTTGCTGGGCGCTTGATAAGCCTCGTGTCCACCAGTGAGGTCCGCCACACTCCGCGCGACACTGTATCCCCCCCGATATTGAGGTATCCCCTTTGGGTTTGATGTTTATTGATCTAATGACAATTTTTCTTGATTACCCTGGAGTATTCTATTTCCTTTCAATCGATTTGCAATATTGGTTTCAGGGCTTACGCTGTCCTTCCATTTATACCCACCATCCGTCTGTGGCCCGGACATTCTTTGTGACAGCCGCTTGCTGAAGCCCCGTAAAGAGACATGTCTGTCCTACTCGAGTCTGGCCAGGTGTAGGTACCTTGTGACTTTCGATTCCTTCCTTTCGCCGATATATTAGATGTCTGGTCCCGCCTGCGGGGAAGCGCCTGATCTTGGCCCGGATCGCCATGAGTTCGAAATGTCGGCGGCCATCACCTCACTCTGGTGGCCCGAGGATCGCGTGAAGGCCACCCTTTGTTCCGAATACGTCTTTAACCACCTACCTTCGAACATCTTGCACCGTCTCGTCAATCCCTTGCCTTGGGGAGAGGGTTTGACCAGCGAGTCTTACTTAGACTGGATCCTTGCCAAGGCCGGTAGAATCTTCCTGATCCTCGTGGACATCGGCATACCGGAGCGCATCTTTGCCCTGGTTGATGAATCGTTAGATGACACGGATTTACCTTTGTCGGCACCAAGTACCACGCGACTTCCTTTCGCACCGGAAGGGGACAATGCAACTGTCGCCCACAAGTTCTTCCTCGCTCAATGGCGGTTCACGGTACGCGGTATCAATGAAGGCGACCATATCAAGTATACTCAGAACGAGGGGGTCCCGGTGGAGCTTCTTCGTACCGGAACATCTCTAGTGAGAGAGGGCGTGGAGAAGGTTGTTCTAGCTGGCTCCAAGTGTCGTGTGCTGTTGCGAACGCAAGTCTCCATTGGCGGTGCACCGCATTTCTTCGAGGAGAACGAGGTGTTGGAAGAAATCCGCTCTCTGAGAAGACTAGCCCACGATCACGTCTACTCAATCTACGCCTCCTACTTTGTGGATACCACCGTTTGCATCCTTTTCTCGGGCGTTTACGAGCGAACACTCATGTCATTCCTTACCGACGTGCCTCAATCTTTCAAGCGCCTCGCCAAGAACAAGCGTCGAGAGATATTAGTCAATTGGCCACATTGTCTGGCTAATGGACTGTCATGGTTGCATGCACATAGCCAGGCCCATAGCCTGATTTCTCCGTCGAACATCCTGGTTGACGCAGACTTTCGGATTTTCTTGGGCCAGTTTGAGGCTCTCGACACTCTTCTATCCCCACTCAAGCCGGACGACGTTGAAACCTACCAGTATGGTGCGCCCGAGCGATGGGTGCGCTCAGTCAGTATTCAGGACACAAGTGCACCAAGCCCAAACATCGCGCTCCCATCAGGGGGGCGTTCGGCCCGCAAACAGTCGTCCCGTCCAGCAATGCTGAGCCTATCTAGATTCAGGGGCTCTCAACCGTCGGATCAAGATACAGAAATACACGCAGAGTCTGTTACGTCGCAGGGAACTGCCATACGTATCGGCCTACGAGGCTCACCTTCTCGGATATCTTTCACCAACTCCTCTTCCTCTGGATCAAGCGTTGGGAGCGCCCGCAAGCGCGTGGTATCCTCCATAAAACGACCGATGTTCTACACACCGTCCATCACTTCGTCCAACTCCAATTCTTCGAGATCATCAACCACTCCTTCTACTACCTATGGCCAGTTTGGCTACCCGATCATCGGTTCCAACGCTGCAATTGTTCATACTTGGCAAACACGCCAGTCAGATCCAGAAGCCTCGGACATATTCTCTCTTGGGGCAGTGTTTCTAGACATCTTCACTCATTTATGCAAGCGCAAGCTCTCTGCTTTTTCACACCACCGAGGGGCTAAGAACCGGACCGCTGGCCGCGGTGGCGGCGTCGCCGACTGCTCATTCCACCTCGACCGAAACGCCGGCCAAGTGAGCTCCTGGATCGCCCTGCTGGACAACGATGCGAAGAAACACAAAGATCCCATCTTCCAGGCTGTTCGACCGATGCTCACCGTCGTGCGAAGCATGCTAAACAGAGAACCCATGAGCCGCCCATCTGCTTATCAGGTGGAGCAGCTTCTGGCCCACTCACTCCAGAAACTGGACGGAAGCTGTAGCCTCCACTGTACTTCCGACCTGCAAGTCCACGCCCCCAGGTCCAAGAACCCACTCCGTCTAGGTGCACAAGCAGCCTCGTCATCAGACAGACTCGTCGTCCCGCGAGCAAAGCCACTAGGGGCTAGATCCCCGTCTCCAAGTAGTCCAATGACTGCCGAATTCTCATCTACTAGCTCTGGAGGACCCGTGAGCCTCCGTCCCTCTCCTTCTGCCTCTGCCTCGAGTTTCAGCTTGCCTGATCAGCAATACACGGACAACTATATATATAGCAGCGACACAGACCAAGAGTACGACAAATACAGTACCTCTTCGTCGCCCGTGCCTTGGCGTGACCCAGATCATGGTCTAAGTCCGGCAGCACATAACGATCCGACATGGAATTACAGCATCGCTCTGGGAAAGCGTTAGCCTTTATTTATATATACCCGTCCCAAAGCGATAACCACTTGGCACTTGGCTCCTTCTCTTTGTATCATTGACATCATACTACCCTCTCGACCAAAGACCAGTCATTTCATCGCCTCATTACTGGTATACTACTACACTTTCCCTTCTACTTCTCTATTCTCATGCACTCCGCACATACTACTTGTACACAACGTCATGCCTTGTACATTCTGGGCTTTTCGGGTTCTTCATCCTCTCTGATACTACTATATACCTTTACACTTCATTTCTTTCTCAGGAGACTTGGCTTTTTATTTTTCTTTCTCATCATTATACTAATATGCCAGTTCTCCTAACGATTGATGATGAATGACCGCTTGTGCTTGCTTTGGGTGATATCCTTATCTATTTCACTTATTACCTTTCCGTTCCACTTGTACTTAGCTTAGTCATTTAATCAAATTCTACTTTTTATGCACACTGCTTCTGATTTATTCCTGTAGTAAATGTAGATACGCGTCAAAAAAGAGGACATCACAAAGACAATATATCTATTTCATAATCCCACTATGACTACCCAGTAGTAAGTAACCCCCCATCCACGCCAATCCCTATCCCACAAAACACCGTCATATCCTCCCGAATCAAATATAAAATTCATCATCAGATCAGTCATAAATAGTAACCCACATACCAAAGACCAAATATGGATAAAGTAATAAGAAGTAGACTTAGAACGTAAATAACTAGACCCCCAATGGTGGATAAAAATACCCGACGACTCGCATGCTACTTACTTACTTAGTACATCTCACATGCATCTAACCAATCACCTACAACCACCACGCCACGCCCCCAATAACCACACAAAAGAGAGCAGACACATCAAGACGGAACAGAAAGCCACCACTATTTCCAGCATGCATGGACGAAGCCCCGCTTGATGGGCTGTAAGCGGCTACTCCGCTTGGGTTTGTACCTGAAGGAGAAGACTGCTTGTTTGATACCGATTTCGAAAAATCTGCTCCTGAATCGGACGCAGTACCTGTGGTAGTTGCGGTGGCGGAAGCGGGAGAGGTAGCACCATCACCATCATCAGAGTTGCTATCATCATCATCATCATCATCATCAGCGTGGACGAAGGCCTGACCTATAGTTGGGAGCGGGGCGGATGGATCCACGGCCCATCCACCGTCCGTCGAGGCAGGGCATTCTGGAGGGGAGATAGCCGCGGTGGATTTGACATAGTCGGATAGAGCGACGCCGGTAGGGTCGAGCGTAGCCCACTGGTTCTTGAGGTTATCAAAGTCGGGTTGGATCGGGGTGGGTTCACCCTGGCGAGTGAAGCCGTCCTGGACGACGATATCCTTGGTGGCAGTTGGGGGTGTGTCGGCGCCGGGAGGGCCATACTCGATCAGGCCGTAGTCGTTTGTTTCCTCGATCCATTCGTAGATCATAGCGCCAGACCAGGTGCCCGACATGTGGTCACCGAAGATGGCGGCCTGGTCGGAGAAGGTGCGGGGACGAGCTACGTTGCATCCTGTTTCGGAGAAGAAGATGGGGATGGGGTAGCCTTCTGCTTCGTCTTGGAGGGTTTGGTAGCCGGACTGCTCGTATGAGGAGTCACCGCACCATTCGTAGGCGTTGAGGGAGAAGAAATCGAGTCGTTCGGCGGGGTCAGAGCGACAGGCTAGGTAGTTCTGCAGCATGGGGCGCAGTTCGGCGATGTCTGCGGCCGAATAGCCGACTGGGATGGAGCGGTAGTGCTGCGCATTGCGATAGGATTTGATGTCGCGGGCTGCGGCTAGCACGTAGGGGGCGGCGGCGGAGCCGTCCTTGGTGGTGAGGACTTCGTTACCGACGAAGACTCCGGCGGTGTTGTCGTATTTCTGGAAGGCGTCCAACACGGCTTTGAAGCTGTCGAATTGGGATTGGTCCCAGTGGGGGTCGTCCTGTGGAATGGGGATGGAGTGGTTAGTTTGTTGGCGGCCCGATACGATGATGGGTCGGGTGATAGGTCATGGATGGGATATAGATGGTGGTGTAGTGGTGGTGGTAAAAGCATACCTGGGAGATCGCGGTGTCGAACGTGTCGAGATCGACGAACAGGTAAATGCCTGCATCTGCGAAAGCTTTCATGCATCCGTCGTGGTTGGCTTTAGGGTCCACATGGTACACACGGATTGCATTGGTGCCCAACTCGGCCATGCGGGCGGCATCTCGCGTGCATTGAGCGGTGTCAATCAGGGGATCTTCGGGAATGAGTTGATAGGCGATGCCTAGACCATGGCGTGCGGGTCAGTGCGTGAGGAACTTTCGTGGGTCGAATGGACAACACGAACCTTTGATGTAGTATTGGGTGCCATCTTCGTAGAAGAATTTTGAACCAACCGCTGAGATGGTTTGTATGGCACTGACGGTGGGGACGTAGAACGTGTTGAGTAGCAACGATAGAGCAGTTGCAGATGATGACCAGTGTGTTTTGACCATTGTCTTCTCGCAGTTCCCTGCACGCGGCTTGGCTCTCTGCAAAGTAATCTGCGATAATAGATCGGGTGGGTACTCTGCAGTCTCCTTCCGGGGATTCTGACCGCTATCCTTATCCAAAGAGTGATAAAACACAGCGAATAGACCAGTCTAATGCGTCGGTATCAATTGAGTAAGACAGAGTGCAGAAGTGAGTGTAACACGCCAGCAAAACTGCCTGCAGCTGTCTGGACAGTGAATATTGTAAGTTGGAACGCAGGTAGATAAGACGACCCAGGGAATGAGAATGCAGACACTTGCATGGACGAGAAAACATCTGTTCTAATATAACAGATGCACGAATAACTGCTGAAGTCATCAATCCCCCCCGAGTATCTACCTCCCCATCGTCCTGGCGCCCTGCCATACCAGAGGTAGCGTGTCTGCCCTGGAGGAGACATACTCGAGAGGGTTGTTGTGAGGAGCGTGACGTCAAAAAGAATCCTGCAGGTGCGTTAAACTCATTGTGGCTCTGGAGTGGATGAGAGAAGGAGAGGCAGTTCCAATCTCCGGGGAAGATGGAATGCAGTGCGATCGAAGGGGGAACAGCTTAATGGATGCCAGGGTGCATGGGATCGACAACATGGATTGGATTGTTTATGCAGGCATTGCAACAAGGTTGTCGCGAACTATGTGAGTACCGCGTCGGAGATTTCTGGGACACCACCTTCAATAATGTTTGGGTTAAGCATTTCATCTGAATGGGACTTTGAACTTTGGTTACTACAAAGTATCTGAGTATGGGTACATTACAATTCCAATCTACAAGATTCCAAGCAGATGTTCATGAGTGGTCTGGTTCCTGACCCAAATTGGCAATCCCCAGTCCCTCACGTGATTATAGGGGTTTCGCACAACAAAACGTTTCCCGATTAGTCATGAATCGTTCCTTTGAAGGAAAAGGAGGAAGCGAGACAGAGGGAAATGAGGTAATAAATCCAGATTATTGCTACACAGTAAGTAAATAGACTGATACTAATTTTGCCACGGGAAATTAAAATTAAAATAAGACTGGAACTGGAATTGAAATTGCTTGTGTTTCTCGCCTGAAACCTGTAGGGCAGGGAGGGCCCGAGTGGATACTAACCTAAGTACTTAGCACTTACTTATGGTGTGGTAGGAATTGTGTGTCGCAATTTAAATCATCCGGTTTGATCGCCTGGGCTGAACAGACGATTAATCTCTCAAACGATAGTGGCTAATAAATCTGAGGAGGGGGGCAAGAGAAGTTGGGTAAGAAGCTACTATTAATATGTATGCTATGATTTTTTGTCAAGATATGCTGGGAACATGGCATTGGGTGGACACGATCCAGCGATGTCAGGAGGAACCTGACCAGTTGCAAGCCATGGCCCGGGATTGCCCGCCCCCTTATTGCTGGAAGTGTTCTGCTTTGGGCTCTCCGGTCTCGCCCAAAGCACGAGGAGCGATGGGTCTTGGCAACGATCGAGACCCTGGCTGGGCCCACCGCCTAAATAATTAGGATCATCTGGAGATGGGGTCTGTTCTCTGCTAGTTACCGTTACTCTTCGGCCGCTTGACGTAGGATGCTGTTGAGATATTCGAAAAAATAAATATGAATTAAATAAGAAAAAATTTTGAAAAAGCAACAGAAATCAAAGTAGGCAGTGTAGACAGCCTCTTCGTTGTAAAAACAATTATTATATCCCCCCCATCCTTCTTGGGGGTTGAAAAAAGGAGATGCAAGCAGAGAGTTACAAGCAATCGACTAGTGAAAGACGGATCGTCACCGGCTTGCGTGGATGACGGGGCCTCGTCTGACTGGGGCTTCCTTTTCCCGCATGCGTGCCATTTCCCTTTCCAAGGAATCTCCGCCAACGCTTTCATTTCATTTCCTCCTTTTCCTTTTTCATTTCCTGCTTTTCCCTTTTCCACCCCCTCCCCTCTTTTTTCTTTTTCTTGCCCGTTTCTGACGTGCTGGGGGGTTTAAACTCATACTAAAGTAGATATATCTACAATTCCCATTGTCCCTCCTCCCCTCCCCCCCTTCTTTTTCTTCTTCACCTTATCTACCTACTATCCACCCTTTTACCACACCTAATTCCTCACCAACACACACTCCATTCTCGTCTATTCTGGTCTGGATCATGCTATCCGTGGTTCTCCCGTCTCTCAAATTCGCCCTCTTTGGAAAGCTTCTCCGCCCACTTGTGCCTCGTTTGATTGGCTCGGACTAGTCGTTTCGTGTTTCGCCCGAATTCAACCCTGTTGTGCCTCCCCGGTGCAACGTCATCCTTATTCGCATATTAGTCGTCGGATTGCTATTTTTGTCCCCATCGCTATATATTACCGTCTCCATAATATATTCCCACCTCTTTCATCGTTACGGTCTATCCGTTGCGCAATATAGCGGTTGACCGCAACATGTCCACCACCAGCACATATTCCCCATTTCGCATCTCTCCACGGGATCGCGCCAATTTGGATCGCAATGAGGCTTTTAGGCTTGTGAGGGAGCATCTGAGGCGTCAGGAACTGGGCATGAAGGCTCCTAGGTACGTGTTACAAGCATTCAGAGAATAAGTCCACCGCCAATTATCGTAGCTAACAGTATCGGCTATAGCTTTTGTGCCGAGCATCGCCATGATACCCCCAGTCAAGAACAGGAAACCTTCCGTCTTCATCGCGATATCATCCACACCATCCTCCTCCCTCTGTTCCTGCTCCACCATCAAGCCTCGCGTATCGCAACCAATGTGCTGCCACGCCACAAAGGCGCGGAATGCGAACGGGCGTTCCGGGGTGAGGCGCGTGGTGCTTATGCTTGGCTGCATTCCATTCTGAGCGAAGAGCATGATTGGTATTTGACCGAGCGCTGCCCCGCCTGTATCGTTCTGCACGTTATGAACTCGGAGCCGACCATTCGATTTGTCGCCGTGGCGTGTCTCCTGTCAGACCACTTGCAGGGTCTGGACCTCCCGAGCGCCAAGAGACGGCTGCCTAACTTCGACTTTTGGTACGAATCGCTGGAGAATGCCGTTCGCGAGGATACGTTTTGGGGCGAGGGCTTCTGGCCGGACATCGAATATCGCGCCTGCGCCTTGACCGATGGTGTGAAGCAGCTGGTGCTGCAGTGCTTGGAGCTGCAGGCTGCTCTGGACCGACACGACCTGCAGCCCGAGGAGTCGTACCGACCGACTCAGCGCTCTCGGAATGACTCGTCACGGCCGTCCGTTACGGTGAAGCAGTCCAGCTGCACGCCGCTCCCTGTCATCGACGAAGAAGACCAGAAGCTCCTTGCCAAGGCCGGCGCCAATCGCGGCATGCATCCCTGCCGCAGTGAGCGGCCGCAGAGATTTCACGCTCGCCGCCATGGTGACCCTCGCAGAAGATCGGTGACGTCTTGAGTGATCGCAGGGTGCTTGTGTCAAGCGACCAAGCTGGAAAAATAAACTAAACAGACTACCTGTCGTGGGTCTAGTCGCCAAATGGTCTGGAATCATCCTGCATCGGGATGGCCGAATCTGCCGCCGAAATCAGAAATCGGCCCACTGAAGTGAGTTGCAGGCTCATTGCAACCGCCTCTCAGTGAAACTATCTACAGTCCCGAAGCAAGTAGGTGCGCACCAAGCCTAGACGTGCCACCGAAGTTTCGACGCCCCAGTACTTCCTCTTGCAGAAACTCACGGACATCCCCCCGTGGATGTAACGTCGAGGACTGCTTCCGCGGAAATGCCTACCGTTGTGCATGCGTGTGTGGCTTGAGCAGAATTTGTCCAGATCGTGCAATCCTTCAAGCCATTCGCAGCAAGGGGGCAAAAGACGTGGTTCGGGGCTGAGGTTATTGTGAGGACAGCCACGGTTAGAGTGTGGAGGCAAAATAGCCTCACAAGGTGAAATCCGCAAGGATGAGGTAGTTCGATTCAACTGTATATACTTTTGATGGACGAGAAGAGCAATACATGCACAAACATCACATTGAACCTATGCCTGTCGTACATTGTAGAACTGTAGCAAAATCCGACACAGACCCACCCACACATCAGTTACTATCCAACGTAAGCCAGCAGACACAAAACACAACACAAAACAAGACACGCAATTCAGGTCGATCAAACACACAATGACGACGTTCTGTAACCAACTATCTACCTCCCTACTACTATCTCCTTAACACAGCTGGCTGGCTAGCTGTAAGATTGTCCATCTGGCTGAGCTGACAAGGCAAGAAGAAGGCAAGGGAAGTAAGTCAAAGTGGGGAACTTCATGCATGTATGCATGTTGTCTGTTCAGTTCCATTCAGCAAGCCATGAATGAAAAATAAACAAATCAACTACTACTAGTTTTCTAATTGTCTCTCTTTTCTTTGCCCCATTTTGCCCCTCTATTATGTACATCCCCACTGCATCAACAATCAAAAACAAAAAACAAAAAACAGAAACAAAACATAATGATGAAAGTCAGAGACAACGAATAGAAAAATTAAAAATAATACAAACCTGTTTTTTTGTTTTTGTTTCTTATTATTCTGGCCTTTGTATATCTGAGACATGATGAAGTGGATTTCATTTGTAGTGGTTGTGGTGGTAGTGGTGAACTAACTTACGTACGTACGAATGTGCCGTGTTTTCCCCACATTCTACTACCGCTAACTAATTGGGATACTCGTTTGGTACTTTTGGTTGGTTGATTGGTTTACTTTAGTTTGGTTTAGTTGGTTGGGTTGGGTTGGATTGGTTTACTTACTCCGCGATGGCGATGGCGAGGGAGGAGAGAGAAGTGGGTAGGGAGGAGGGGGAGGAGGGGAGGAGAGGGGAGGAGAGGGGTGGCGGCAAATTCGTATTCTTCTAGTAGTATCCATCTATCTGGTAGGAGTAGTAGTATCTATCCCATCTAGGACGTGTAATAGGCTAGATCCCACTCGGTAGTAGACGAAATAGGTATCTGGTGAGGGTTTTGGTGTGTGGAGATAGGTATGGGTATGGCAATTATCTTATCGCATCTAGATTCGACATGGAACATTGGACATGGTGGGTTATGTATGGGTTATGTGGCACGGGATAGATAGTAGGTAGGGTCTTTGACTATCTATCTGTCTATTTGTCTATCTGTCTATACTATGTCTATACTATTACTTTACTTCAATCATTCTATTCTCTGGTAGAGGAGATTGAAGGATGATGATGATGATGAATCTGGTCTCTTAATCACTCGATCCTCTGGTTGAGTAGATTGGAAAGGATGAGTCTGGCTGGTCTCATGATTGAAGATCAGTTAATCTAGACTATGTGGAGAAGTAACGGGGAGGAAAAGGGAGGTGTCTGGAACCGTGGGTTGAGCATGGATGGTGTATAGTAGTTATGACGGGTTGATTTGGGAGAGTCATTAATATAGAGGACTATTAGACTAGTGGTAATGGAGAGAGTAGAGAAAGTAAGGTTGGAGACGGGATCGTTGTGTATGGCTGGATTAAATTATCGGAGGGAGGGAGACTTGGGTTATACGGGATTGGGGTTGAGATTCCATGGATGGGTGTGTTTGAGATTCTTTTCCTTTCTCTCTCTGTCTTTATTTTTTTTATTCTTTCTCCGTGGGAATAATGATCATTTGATTGTCTGTTTTAATTTACTATGTATTGTCTTCTCTTGTACACTGTACTTGGTTCAGTGTAGAGTGGAGCATCAATCATCAGGCATGAATTCATTCCCTGATGGATGGAGACAGGCCACGCCACCACACGAGAGGATCTGGTAGAAACATCAGGTTGTGTAGGTAACCAACGGGGTCTAGACTGGGCCCGAGTCGGATGGGATACAACCCGGTGGGGATCACCGTTATCCACAATTCATTTTGCATTTTCCGTGCTTGCGATCACATCACGAGATTACATTTGCTGGCACAACCGTATACCACCTACTTTTTAGTTGGATGTAGTACAGAGGATGTTCTGGATCGTGGGTGTGTGTGAGAGTGAGCCGTGTATACTTGATCAGGAAGGGGTAGTAATTAGATAGACGACATGTAGATCCATACATCGCATCACATCCGGTCAGTCTCGGGAAACAGGATATCAAAGGATCTAGTATTAGTCTAGGTTCTGTTGGTAGATCAGAGAATCAGGTCTGAGTCGTCGCTTCACTTTCAGAAGGAGATCGCTATTGTGGATGGATGGATGTGTATGCAGATGCCTTGTTCATGGTGATGTGAGTGATGAAGATCGTTCTCTTTCTGTAAGATTTTTGATTTGGTTGGATATGCTATATCCCTGATATGAACGCCGATAGCATACGCATGCTCCTTATGCTGAAATTGTGTGGATAGATAACTAGGGTCCAGAACTGGGTGACAGCATTGACAGTGACAGTGACAGTGACACCTGTCAGGCAGGATCGCTTCAAGGGTCTAATTTCACGTACCGTGGAATTGTATCCCAGTCGGTAATTAAGAAGTTATATCGCTTCCGACAACGATGGAAATTAGCAGAAAAGGCTGGAGGAGAACTGATCTAATAAACAGGGCTTAATCGGTGATAGTGTTGGGCTGCGTGCGAGGCCAAAAGGAGGTGAGGATGATTTCAGCCACTTACGACATGCAATTCTCGTCGGCTATGGATGCGTACAGACGGGATCGTTCCAATGGACTGGATTGGACTGGACTGGGCTTGAAAGTGGGGGCCGTGAGAACAGGAGGGAGGGGAAAAGTAGCAGCAGGAGCAAGGCGTGGATAGACACATTTCTTTTTTTCCATCGCTCTGCCCGTTGTATGTATGTACCTCCTGTGTGCGACTGCGGACGACATCTGAGGTCAGACGCTGTGAGGCTGAGATAAGGAGACATTTTTTATTTTAGTACAGGAAATAAGAAAAAGGAGACAGATAACTAAAAGCAGTATACCTGTGGACGGAGTTACCCGATTAGGTAAACACATGGAGATTGTTTTCAGTATGTTCAGCAGCGCCAAAAGTACAAACCACAAGCACACTAAACTCCCTCTTCAGCCTCAGCTCTGCGCAGCCACGGGAGCCATGCCGGATCTACGATAAACCTGAAAGGTATAGTGCTAGTGAACTAATCAACTTAACTCCCAGACTAACTTGCTCCCGCACCTACAGATCCCTAAACCAATTCTCTCTCTTGCCTGACCCGACCTACAGTAACCTAGTCAAGCCCAAGCTACGGCCTAAGTTAAGTAAACCTTCGGTTAGAGAGGAAAGTCAGTTTAGTTTCCCTTAGGTAGTTAGTCTAGTCTCGAGACTGGAGAGGGAGACAAGAGAGACCAGGGCCTCCCAGTGGCCCCCTCCCTCCCCCATCCATCAACCCTGCCTGATCCCAGAAGAATTGAACTTTATCCCGCCAATGTTCATCTCTAGGCCCATAATGGCCCAGTTGCGCACACACACAAATAATTGACCCGAGTTTTTATTATTATTCTATTTTCCCTTTTGATTCATTTCGGACCACATAAGGCGGATCTTTTCGGCAGCACGGAACAAGGGTCTAGGCGTCAATCCGCCCGGAAGCGGCAGTGGGTTTCGATCGCGCCATGCAAGCAAGCCTTCTGCTGCCCGGGGAGGCCAATGAGGGTGGCCTCTGCGCCACGCCGAACCAGGGTGAGGGCGAGACTGTCGACGTCAAGATTCACTGAAATTTGGGGGATGAGCAGTTTTAGTTTTGAATTGCCGGTTGACTTTGGGACAGACACTGAGAGAGGCAGAGGGATTTGGCTTATTAGAGTTCCAGAACCACCTTTCCTTGTGCTTGGCCTCGCTGGATTTTATTCCAATTAATCTCAATTTCTTATCCTTTTATTATTTTCTATCTGGGTTGTCCATAACAGGTGATTCATCTCCTTCCTGGCTGGCTCAACTCATAGGTTCCCTTACCATCTCGCCCTTTTCCGGTCCGCGTCTTCTCTGAGTCATGCTTCTACACCGTAACTATTTATTGTGCGTGGGAAATTTCTAGATTCAGCAGTGCAGGATCCATGAGTGGGTAAGGTACTGCGTACTAGTTGGTATAGGTCAGGTACAAATTATGGGGAATGGGCAATAATAAAGACGATAATGAAGAACTACTACTGAAGGCTGAAGCGTGGCCGGGATCGAAGATGCTAGCACCATCACTAGACTAGTCATACGCTACCCACCTGATTGAACGCTGGTTTATTAGTTTGCTCACCATTGTCGTCTTAATCAGGGACTATGTTCCGGATTATCTGGGGTTTTCTTGATGTTGTTTGTTACTGTGCAGTGTGTACCCGGCTTCGCTTCGGGATTCCCGAAAGCTTCAACTTTCTGAAGAATCACCACTACAATGTATGGTAGGTCAAATGTAAATAGAAAATTGGTTGTTAATAAGCATCGGATCAGACGGTAAATAGCGAGATCGATAAAGTGATGCTGATCCCAGGTAATACGAGATCTAGAGCAGAAGATAAGTTGTTGGTTACTGGTAACGGCCATTGTTACCAAGTATAGGCAGGCAGGCGGCAAGACTGCCACAGTGCGAGGGAAGAATAAAAAAAAGCAAACCTCCTGATCAGTTCGCCCTGGTTGAAATAACCATGCCGCCTTTTATTTTATTTTATTTTCTTTCCCTTTCTTTTCTCGTACACAATGTGGGCAGTTTGTAGTACCTGCCTGACGCCTGGCACGACGGCCAGATCCACTCAGACAGACAAGTCGTCATGGATCAAGCTGGTCATCCATGCTTTTCTTCCCAGGGTCCAGTCCATTACATCGCTTGCCTTGTCTTCATTACACACTTTGGCTGGTGATTGTTGGTACTGCTGCTGCTGCTACAGACAAGACTCCCCTCCGACCGGGAAAGGCCAGACGGGCGGTGGGGCGCTGCTACTACTTTTTTGGGGAGAGATGGGGGGCAAAACTAAAAGGGTGGGCACTGGACACTGGTGGACTCTGCTGGAAGGCCCGTGTAATGCCCGTTACGGTATCGCTGGGCCTGTCCCGGTTTAGCTCCGATCAGCCACTATGGAGGCCTAGACGAGTCGGAGGCGTCTGGGCCTCTGGATGAGTCGGTTGGTCGGCTCAGTCCGCGACCTTGAGACTTGAGCAGGAAACCTTCCTGCTTTGAGTGGGAATAACGTGGATAATTATTATATGGGATGAATAGCAAAAAGAATATTTTTTTAGGATATAAATTAGCAGCTAGAAGAAAGGAAATAACTAATAAGGGTAAATAAAACAATGCAGGTGGAATGCCGGCGGGAGCAGATGATAGATTAAAAGTGTCCCGTTTTATACACCTGCATTGCTCACCCGCTGACTGGCCCGACCGGGCGTCCTCGTGTCATGAATTCCCCAATCAGGCCAAGGCCGGCAGGTCTAGAACGCCGGTGGAAAGTCGCAGCCCGAGGGTCTTGGCTGTCAGTCTCTGCGTCTGGCCCTTGGGTCAATTTCCCAGGCGTCATGATCCTTTTTCTGTCTGTTCTGTTCTGTTCTGCTTGAAACTGAACCGCTATTTTCCATCCGCGCCTAAACTTTCTCGACAGGGCCCGGATGGCTCTTTCTCTCGACTCTCTCGCTGACTCTCTTACACTCTCTGGTCTTTTCTTTCCCTCCCCCCTTCAATCTCGCTCTCTTCTCCACTGTATCATCATCATCGTTTACCATTTACCTCTCTTTCTCTCTCCATCTTCTCATCTTTAACCTTCCTCTCCTTCCCTTCTTCCCACCTTTCTGTCATCTCTCGTCCTCTTACTACTTCCCCCCCTCCTCTTCCTCCTCCACTCCTCTTTTAGTGTCTCCCCGGTCTCTCTCTCTCATTGCCGACCGTCTGTTTTGCACAACTACTATTCGTTTCCCCCCCCTCTCCCCCGTTCTGCTCTGCCACGAACTCTGCCACGCCAGCCAGCTTTTCATGGTGCTGTTTGTTCGTGTTTTCCACCAAGCTACCCAACCTCTTACCACCCATCACTCAATATCAACTCTCCTTCTCCCCGGCCCCAACATCGTTCCCCCGGGTTGTGTCTGAGACCTGAAAGTCCTTCGGCTGTACTCTAAAGTTAGCGTACTCGTGGATATTGAGTTGGCTGGATCCGCCTCTTTTCGACGTCGCCTCCCTTCCCCGGCTCGCCAGTAGCCCAGCAATAGACTGGATGAATCCCCCACAGTGCCATGGACCATATCGACCTACATCTGTGGTGCGAGACAGCCCGGTCATGCGTTCGCCATTCTCAGCATCTTCCTTCTCATCCACCTCTTCCTCAGAAGCGTCGGGGGAACCCAGCACGCCAATGAGAGCCAGCTCGCCAGCTGATTCACAGGATCCGCTCCAATTAAGCCCCGTCTCGCCTCTCAAGTCACAGCCGCAACTATCATTATCACCATCCTCTGCCTTCCACCACAACTACCACAACATCGGCTCCAGTCGATTAAAGCGACGTGCCTCCCAAGGGTCCCTTTTAACAAAGCCTTCTCCCGTCTCCCGATTTCTTTCTCGCAGCAACGCTTCTCTGCACCTGCCGTCCTTGGAAGACTTCGGCCTTTTCTCCAAATCCCCGACTCGGGCGGAATCCCAGTCCAATCCTTCCGACACTCGTCTTCGCGTCTCCACCTCCTCCACCGCATCGGGCTCGCTGGCGGCTCGTGCGTCCCAGTCAACCGCCGGGGTGTGGGAGACACCCGCCGCCAAAAGTGATTATCTCTCCGCCCTTCCCCCGACTCCCCCGGATGACAACGACCACGTAGCGTGGAATCCTTCATCGGAATGTTACTGTTCGAGTCGCATATGAACCGGGAGCCCGGGCCAATGGCCATGGATGAAGGTCCCAGCATCGGTAATTCGCCCGGCCGAACGTCGGACGGTCTCAGCAGCCCGTCCGATCAACTTTCAAATGGATCGCCGTCAAGCTCTGGTGGTAGCCCCGGATCTTCTGGTGACATGGATTGTGATCACAATTCATGGCTGGAGAATAGTATTGAAGCATCGAGTAAGTTCCATCTGATCACGTGTCCTCTCCGTATGGAAATCTCGGTAAGAGCTGCTGGAAGCTAACCCTTCATGTGATAGTATCATCTCTTCCCTTCTCCAACGGTCGCGGGGAGGCCGTGAAGATCGTCTCGCAAATGCTTCCTTACCCACGACCGGCTGATAAGTCAGCTCCGGTCTCCGCACACGATAGCGTATACTGCGCCCTGGTCCACGCGATTCAAGATCGCCTTCGTCATGGACAGTCTCCATACATCAACATCACCCATGCTGTTCCTGAACAGTTCAGCCTTTCCAACTTACCCTCCTCTCCTCCACCGACACCTCGCTCGCTATTCTCCGGTGAGGATTATTTCAACCCACCGGCTGTCTTCTCCAGTGCAGCCGTGGTTTCCGCCTATCACGATTTCCGGGGTCCGATCCAGCCCAAGACGACGTACTCTCCGATGCCGATCGTGCCGCCGCACACCGTCCACGTTTCGGTCTTGGAGCGGTATCTCCCCCCGTCATCCCCACAGGAGTATAAAGACATGTTCTCCCGGTATCGTCCGTCATTCTTGGTCGACCGACTGAGTGAGCTATCGCCTGACGGCGGGTCATTACTGTTCGTCTACCCCACGAGAAGGGGTGCATCCACCTTCAAGTCGCAATATCTCGGACCAATCCTAGATCCCTTACTCCGTCAGCTTGTGGTTGTGAATGAGTTGTCCACCGACATCGGTCGCTATCTGGGAAAGCTCTCGTCTGTCTCGCACATGGAAGACTTTGACACGATGCGGCAAAATCTCACCCAGCTCTGCTGCGATTTGAGCTCCCCATCGTCTCAATTCAGTATTGTCGATGCCCGTAAGGGCAGTGCCCATCTGGACCGTGATCTGTGGACCGAGTGGTACATTCACCAGGAGAAGTCTCGTATGAAGGAGGTTCTCAGTGTATACTGGCAGAACGGCCGCCGGCTGCCTGCGACCAAGGCAGTGTCGAATATGTCGACGAATTACATTCTGGAGGATAAAGAGGTGACCTCGGCCATGCTCTTGGGGGAGATCCTTGATGGTATCCGAAGACGGCCATATGGCGAGGATTCGGAGCCTCGGGATGGCGTTGAGTTGGGAGTTTTCGTGATCCGCCGGACTCACTAAGCACGGGTTCTGCAGCTGTGGAGCCAGTTGCGGGAATCCTCTCCGCCTCCGTACATGGGTGCTCCATCTTCTTGACTATGCTTCATTTTTTTTTCCGCTTTTCTTTTCTTTGCTTTTAATATTTTCTTGAAGGATATATAGCCGTGTGATTCAAAAACGGGGAACTGGCGGGTCCGGCGGCGTCTGCGGAGTTGGGCTTTGGGTTCTCGATTGCACGTTTGGGAATGTCTAGGGAGCATTGACTGTGTGCATTTGCTATTATCGGATGAAAATACCCAGGATATCTATTTCATGGCAGCGTGACGACCACTAGCATGTGATTACTACTACTTTTTACTCTTTTTAACTAGATGATGGAAATACATGATCCGCCCTACAGAAGGCAACCCAAAGGCAGCGATAGATGATGTCAGCGTAGTGAGTTGTACACCGTATACGACAGTGGTAATCCCTATGCAGTACTCTCAATAGACATATGGAGCGGACCCTCCAATTGTTATCTTGTGTTAATCCATGTGTTATCAAGAATACAAAGAGTCAAGTCTTGTGTAGTTAGTAACTTGACTCTTTATGGCTTCACTGCAGGCCGGGAAAACACCGACAGGCCGGGCGGTCAAAAATGTCCCCGAGGCTAATCCGCTTCGGGCCAACGGCCGGCCTCCCGCCTTCTGCTCTCCTCCGTCACTCTCCAGTCCAGTTCTTCTGCCTCCTCTTTCTTCGCCTCGAATTTGCCTGGTCGCTTGCCATCTCCGTGCTTATGCAGACTGCCTTTCGAGCCTCTCGGTCTCGCCCTGCCTTGTTCCGGCAGCAGTTTCCTGCCAAGCCCAGCTTTGCTTCTCCCACTGAGCCTTCTTTCCATCGCCCTTCTCAACTCTTCGCAGTGTTTGCCCTCCACTCCTCTCTCTCGTTCTCGCTCTAGCACCTCCACCATTCTTGCTCATGGCCTACTCTCCTGGTCCGACATCCCCGGTCCACGGGAACGGGGCGCCTATGATGGCAAATAACTTACAATCTCGAGGGCGCTCCACTAGTCCTCCGACCAGCGTGCCGCTGTCGAAACGGGACAAACGACGCAGCGCGCTCCAGGAGCGCCTCCATGACCTCACGGCCTCGTTCAGCCAAAACAGAGATACCCAGTTCCGCCAGCAATTGCATGCTCTCCAATGCGACATGACCCTCATTAACAATGCTGATCCTTATGAGCCGGGCCCTCTCCCCGATTCGGCGGAGGATATCGCCCGCCTTATCGAGAATACCGTCGGTGGGGGCAAGTTCGCCAAGGAGATGGCGAGTTTGGCCGGCATGTGGTACTCGCGGTTCGTGCAGGAGGTCAATCAGGTCAAAGCGGAGAAGGATGCGGATTTGGCTATGTTGGTGGTGAGTTCATCTTAGCACTGCTTTTGTTTTTCTGTCGAGCTGGCGGGCTAATGTTTATTTTCTTCTCCAGCATCGTCACAATCATAATCTCGAACGGTTCAAGCAGGAGTATGCGTTTCGGGTTCACTTCGCGGAGGAAGAATACAATAATTTGTCGCTTACCCTTCGGGAGCGTCTTGTTCAAACGATCTCGGGCAAGAGGGCTCGCTTGATGCGAGAAAAAGAGCAGTTGGATCTGGCGGATACCAACGCCCTTCTCCTGCACCCCAATCAATTCAGCATTACCAACCCCGCCAGTCCGGGTGGGATTCACGGAAACCGCAAGACTCGTCACACCCGCCACCGCGTCGATTTGGACGAGCTCGGCAATGGGATCATGTCGGAACACTTCAATAAGCGCAAGAGAAAGGCGGCTGATGAGGATGTGGGCTCGCCTGTGCGCGAGACCAACCCCGCCGAGCGCGCCAAGGCCCAGGCGGCCCAGCAGCAGCAGGCGCCGTCTTACTCCATCAATTCTCTCTTTACGGAGAGGGAGCTTGGTGCTCATGCCAATGCTGCACACATTGCAACAGTTCACTTCTTCTCGACGTCCAAGCGTGCGGATCAGCCGTCTGGAGCGGCTACAAACGGTAACAACACCGATGCCGACGATGGTTCGGGAGTGGACGGGACGGGTGCCGAGGACAATGGCACTCCTGCGGCCGATATGGCTCGCACAGCCAGTCAGAACTTCCACGCCACGCGGTCCACGCGGGGGCATGGAAATCACGCGTTGAACGCGCTGGCGGAGCTGTCAGATAAGCCCGCTGTACGCCCTAGTCTCCCGTACAATATCTTGGCCAACTATCACGCGCGTTCAAGCAACAGCGGCGCGCCTCCCTTGCCTCCTTTGATGAACGAGGAAGTCGATGACGACTGGGCGCGCATCGACCGGTTGCATAACAAGCCTGCGGGATTCGTGGATCGCACGCTCGTTCAGCTCTTAGTCGAGACAATCCCCTCAGACGTGGACGGGGTGCCGCAGGACCCTAACCGGTTCAACATGCTGCATCCCGACTTTCCTACCGAAATGGGCATGCATCTATATCCGTTAAGGAAGGACAACGGCGACGTAACAAGCAACGAGCGTTCAACGAAGAAAACCAAGACGGGCTAGCCATGTAGCCTCTATTTGCGGAACCAACAATACCACAGGCGTTTAAGGCTAGCCATGACACTGGCTAACCGGGGTAGGTGCAAACTGGATGGGTAGCGGGAGTACTTAACAAATACCACTTTGACGGGCGTTGGGATTGATTGACATTGGCTGCCTGCTTGTACGGTGGCATTTGTTTGGACGGAGCAAGAATCTCCTGTCATGTCATGTCATTTCTTTTTCTTTTTCTTTTTCTTTTTTCTCTTTCCTTTTCTCATCAGTGATCTTCTCACCTTGAATATCTCTGACCCGGAATGTTTACTAGAGTCAGCCAGTAGTAGTATACTTCTCTGAGTCTTGTGGATTCTGCTCTTCGTCTATACTGCTTTTCTTCGGACTGGATTTTGTTGTCCTGGGACGGCGTTGACTGGTGATAGAATTGGCCCTGCTTGCTTCATTGGATATGACAGGTATGAGGTAGGCAGTAAGTAGTCAGTAGGTATGATAGTCAGTAGGGAAGGAATGAAGTGAACTGTACATGCTCGCTGGACGTGTTTATCCCTCTTAACTGTGCCCCGCCGGGGCTTACCCTTGAGATAACTGGTTACTTGGTGAACTATCTAACTGGTCAGCACTGGCACTACTATCTGTAAGCGATTACATAGTTCACGGACTCGGTCCTGGCTATAGTTATACAATGAGACATAATGCACACTCGTCCACTAGAATTGTATATGGTACCTATATACATACTCTCTGTTAATCTATCTCGTTTACTATTATGTACCGGTATATCCAGTGCCATATATGGTACTAGTGGGGTGGCTCGATATGAAGTGCGTAAGTGCATACATTCAGTGAGAGTACTATTTACTCTACTGCACAACCCTACCTGTCTGCACAGCTACTATAGATGTAATTGCATAACATGATGTAGTTGTGTCAGGGCAACCAGCGCTTAGAGACGGATGTTCGGATTACTATGTTACGGAGCACAGGAATTGGTGCTGATGCTATTTAGGAACAGAAACATTATTATCACGTTCCTAGAATGAGGATTATAGAAAATATCGACGAAGTATGGACATGACATCGAAGTCGACTATATTATAAGAACATAAGATCAATTACAGGGCGGAATAGCCACGATGAGTGAGTAGCTACTACGCATGCTAGGCTGGTATTTCACGTCTGCAAGCGTGGTGTCCAGCCATTCCAAGGCGATAGTGTTACTGTCATTCTCATCGTACATCTTTCAGAAGCACCCTGAAGAGGATACACCAGGAAAGCGATAGGTATGTCGCTCACGCTTCATGTTCTCTAGTGCGGTTACGGTGCCAGGTGGGGATACTTTGATCAGAGCCCTGTGTATGGTACAGTTAGTGCCGGGTGAGGTTATAATTCATGATGCAGCACAGCGGACCTTTTGGGAGTTTGAGGAACGTCCCGTGCATTATCATGTGGAATAACCTCTTCGTAGACAGTTGATGTATGTGTGCTGTCTCCCACTACGGGTTTGAGGATTCGGTAGTTCCAAGAAGTGCCTTGAAGAGTAGTCCCAGGTGTGAAAGATGATATGGTTTTTGAGAAATGCTTTTGTGGAGCAAACATACTTGGGTAGTTGTGCAATAGAATAAATCAAGAATGATTGTTCTACGAAGATGCTGTGGAGTGTTGGAAAATAGTATGATAAAAGCGAAGATGGAACGAAGTACTTGTGAAGGGCACGGGACCCGGGATGTGGCTGGTGCAGCTGGCTATGTGGCTAGGACTGGTCACAGCTCTAGATTCTTCAGTAAGGATGGGTACTGTGTAATATGTCTGTAGGCACGGAGTTTTCTATGTGTGGGAGTAATAAGGAGAAAAGAGTGGTCATCTGATCTGGCTACCAGATGTAGTACATTTACTAACTGCAAACTTACGATAATACATGTGTTCAAGTACCGGGCGCAGCACTAAATAACATAATGAAGCAAGCAACTTGGTTGTTTACAAGCAAAGCAAAGATCCTTTAAATACACCGGGACGATGAGATATCATCGCAATTTACAACTCCAAACTGTTCACTCCCCTCATATCATTCCCTGATTACGATTAGTAAATGCCCAAAAGAGCAGCAACGGCGATAGTCCACCACCATCCTGAGGAGCTGTTCTCCTTAGGCGCCTTGTTTGACAGCACGGGTGTGTGGCTAGGTGAAGGAGACATTGTTGGCCGGCCGGAGAAGGTAGCGAGGGTCGAGGAAGCCCAGGGGTTGGGAATACGGCTCGAGCTTGCCGAGACGCCAGTTGGACCGCCTGGCACAAGGCCCACGGTTGTCTGGGCGCTTCCTGAAGCGGTCGTAAATACGACCTTAGGCACGGTCACGGTCCAGGTAGAGTAGGTGACGACGGTGGATGCGACAGGTGCAGCAGTGGCTGGTTTGGTGGTCGGGGCGACACCACCGGTGATTGAGTGGACTGCTGTACCAGTGACTGGAGCGGCACCGGTGGCGCCAGCGCCGAGGGTGATTGAAGTTGGGATGACCGTCACGATGCCTGGGTTTTGCGGTACATAGGCAGCGCAGATACCGGTGAAATAGGACAGAGCAGCCTGGACTTCGGCTTGGGAAGCTCCCCAGGCTTGTATGCAGGAGATGACCTTCTTGGTGAAATCGTCCGATGGGCAGTAGCAGCTGATATCGCTGTTGGAGCTGCACTTGGGAAGCAAGTTCATCCAGGTGTTGATGCACTTGGGCACCACGTTGGGGCACGGTGCGGATGGGGCGGGCGTCGAGACACCGCTGGCACCGGTGCTGGTGGCTGGGGACTTGCCCGTGGGTACAACTGTGTTTGCAATCGTAGACGTTGCTGTCATGGTGATGGTGGAAACAGTGCTAGTAACTGAAGTGATGGCCTTGCCACTTGAGGTCACGACTGAAGTCACAGGACATGTGGTCACGGTCTCCCAGGTCACAATAGTTGTTGTGCTCTCAGGCGCAGTAGTGACAGGGCCAACAGATGTCGGGCCGGCGGTACACTTGGGGCAGTATGTGGACACCGAGGTCAATGTCACTGTTGAGATGGAACTCGTGACTGAAGTCACCGGCCTCCCGCTCGAGGTCACTACAGTGGTCACTGGACATGTAGTAAGGGTCTCATATGTAACCACAGTTGTCGTGCTCTCCGGGACGGAGACCGGTCCAGAGGAAATGGGAGCGACGCCGGTTGGACCGTGAGCAGAACTTGAGACGACCGAGGTAGGTGTAATAGTGGACACTGAGGTCACGGTCATGGTTGAGACTGTGCTGGTAACCGAGGTGATAGGAACACCACTGGAGGTAACAACGTTGGTCACAGGGCAGGTAGTTACAGTCTCATAAGTGACAACAGTAGTAGTCCGCTCAGGAGCCGAAACAGGGCCAGACGAGATAGGGGCTACAGAAGTCGGAGCAATGCACTTGGTGCAGATGGTCGATGTCGAGGTCAGCGTAACAGTAGAGATGGTTGTGCCAACTGACGTGGTGAGTGAGCCGCCTGCAGAGCCAGTGGATGTCACTGGGCAAGTGGTCACTGTCACGTATGTGACGACGGTGGTTTTATCAACAGCAGGAGCTGAAGAGCCATGCCCTGATGCAGCAGGAGCCGTAGACACAGCAGGGCTAGTAGGAACCGGGCTGGAATGGGATGAGGTGGTCTCAACAGGAGAGCTGCCAGTTGGAACACTGATCGACGTCGTGACCATCGGATTGCTGGTATGGTGTCCTGCCGACGTACTTTCCACTGGAGAAGCCCCAGAAGTCTCAGTAACCGGGCAAACAGTAGTCGAGACCGCAATTGTAGAGGTGACCACGGTGACCGAGTTTGCAGGACAATTCGTCACAGTAGGTGCGCAGCTTGTGATTGTCACCTCCTTCGTCGAGTAAACAGTGGACGTGGTCATCCTGACTGGTGTCGGGGCAGAAGTTGTAGCAGCTGCGGGCGACGAGGGTGGCATCAGGATCAGCGGAGTCGAGGAGCCACTTGACTTGGTCGAGGATGGCAGCACAGTGGTACTAGAGGTATCGGTATCCTGGCTTGGCGAGCAATCGAATTCGACCTCGTAAATACCCAAATCACAGGTCTCGATCTCAATATCCTCCTCAAGCCTGAAGCTCACTGAAACAGAGCCACCACACTGGTCATTGGTGACGTCTGTACCTTCCGGAGAGCAGGAGACAACATCATTGCAGGATGATCCATCAGGCATGTTATAGACAATGTGGACGTCGGCTTCCTTGGATGTGGCGAGACGGAACCTGCTGACAGAGAAACCCTTCTGGTCTTTACCGGAAGACATCCTGAGACCCGAAGAGCTTTCCTTGGAGAGTTTTCCAACGATGCATTTTCCCTATAGCCATTAGTTACGGGCCAACTCAATAGAGGTGCAATGCTTACTCTGGAAGAAGCGCCAAAGCTCTCTTTCAAGGAGAAGCCTGAAAACTCAAACCCAGCATAGGCTGAGAAGGAGCCGACAGCCAGTCCGGACCAGTCAAATCCAGTTTGCTGATCCTGGGAACAATCATTGTCGGCCTTTCCAGGACTGGGATAGCATTCATCGGTTCCCCACCACTATGTATATTAGCCTTGCTTGAAGTCATGTACAAGAGTATGAGCACACTCACCAAGCCCTTGGGATGAGCAAGAGCTGCAAGCGGCCAAAGGGCGACCGAGATTAGGTAAAGAGGAACTACAGCCCTCATTTTGAATAGGGCTTAGTAGTGATCGAAGGAGTGTAAAGAATGTCGAATGAGATGCAGGTTGTCGACTTGTTTCAAAGTCACGCAGTTGCGGAAGAGGAGACTTATAAAGAAGACGAAAAGAAATAAGAGCAAGCCAACGAGTGATAGTAGATGAACGAGCGTCTAGTGTCAAACCACTTGGGCAAACAAACAATAACACAATAACAACAACAAAAAACAGCTTCAGGGGGAAATCAGAGCAGCCAAAGCATTCTGTTACCAGGGAGGGCGATGGACCCTTAAAAGTACCAACACCGGGATGGCGAAAGGCTGTGTGCCTAACACAGCCAGTAACGGCGATTGCCGTTCACCAGAATAGACTGAAAGTGCAAGTAAGACAGGCCATTGAGCATTCACGCTCCAACCAGCCAGATGTCAATGGCTGCACAGTCGGTGTTACAACCACCAATCCAATCCAGAGGCGCCGGGTGTGCCGCTAGTGCAGGAACAGGGTGAAAGACCCTGACAGAAGCGCGAGTTCATCGCCAATCAGGGGTCACGAAGGCTGGCATTTGGCTCAGCCCGAGAGATGCATCGGCCCATAAGGGGCGATGCTGAAGAACCCTTTATTTTGTGGGTGAAAGAGGGGGGCCCTGAGGCGTTGGTGGCTGTTCGTTGCCTGGCAGTCTGACGGCATACAGTCTCTAATTGAATCCATGGCAACAAGACATTCATTACTTATTATTCCTGCATCCATCTGGCGACGAATGCGCCGCCAAGAATCAGACATGAGATTCATGAATGAATTCGCCCAGCAAGCAGCAGACAAGACTCATTCATCCAGGATGAAAAGGGTAGAAGGGAAGAAGAGAGGGCAACAAGGCCAAGCAAGAAGGGATCGATCATGTGTCTTTGTCACTGACAGACACACTGTCCCACCTCCCAAATGAGACCCTAAACGGCGCCAATGTCTCTTCTCCACGTCAAATGTCCAGCCAGGGTCCAATTTGATCCATTCATATCACATCAGACACACAGAAGAAGTTAATTCTGCACGATCCGCTCAAAGCGGCATCTCCGATCTTCAACACCTAAAGCTCGCTTGTGTGCAGTGAGATGAGAGGGTAAAGTTAACCCGGCGTCTCGCGCTGAAACCTGACCAGTCAGTGCCCCAACAACACCTTTTTTCTTCCCCTCTCACATTCATCACTCCTTTACCAACTGCCAAAATTATCCATTCGGTTCCCATTCTAATAATAATCTTACGACACTGGAAGAGCCCAGTTCACCCCAATCCGAATCAGAAAGAGAACAAACTTCAACCGATCTACAGCGTACTAGAGAGAAGTGAGGGCAGCACGCATTCCCATTCACCAGGTAACCGCCGAGGCTTCAATCCAAGTTCCTCCGACTACAATCACCGCCACGCCACAGCAAGATAGCTGATGGAAGAAATCAAGGAATTGAAAGCCATGTAGACTCTAATCGACGTAGACTAAGTAGGTGACCTAGGGAACCCCAGCGCCAGAATACCACCTCGGAATCCAACCTTCAGAGCCTGGGCCACCGCCTCCACATTCCACTAAAATACCATGCAAGTCTGGGTTTGGGTTTGGGGTTTGTGATGTGAGCATTGTGATAGAGCATGCATGCACATATGCTGTACGATCTGATTTATGCGCTCGCATAGGAGTGATTGGATCAGACTCCAGCTGGCTTGTCTCCACAGGAGGTGGTTGTGCAACCTGCTAAACGCTCGTGTACAAAGCGATGATGAGAGAATTACTACTTTACCCCTGGCGCGTCGCACAATGGCTCTGTCTGACCATTGCGTTAGGGACCTTGAGGGGTTTCGTTTACTCCTGACCCTTGTTATGGCTTGCATAGGGTGGTATTGCTTCATTTCCTTTGGGTTGAGCACTGAGACAAGTATTACTTGCAAAAGGGAGGGTCAATGCCATCGTCAATGGCTAATGGCCTGATGGTGCCTAGAGGCTATAGTTACTCGATACTACCTAAAAACTTAACAAAACTACGTTACTAGTCGCTTGCTTAAAATACTTTCATATTTGCATTTCCGTGTGCTTAAGACGCCGTAGCACTGCATACATGTCATCAAACGGAGGAAATCAAGGTAGAACAAAGAAAAGCAACAGGTCTTCGTAACACAAGGTATATCCTTTCATCAACTCCAGAAATCAAATGTCATCAAACTCGAACTTTTGGCCATGAGATATCCCCCATCTTTCCGACCACAAGAGAGAGAAGAGAAAGAAGACCTAATTCTGTGGGAGAGAAGCCATGCAGAACACCCGCCGATGGTGGGGAACGAGGCTGGATCAACCAACCCACATTCCCGATGTAACAAACACATCACCGTCTATGCTAGAAACACAGACTCTAAATCCATGTACAAATGTTCAATATGTCCTCGGAATTGGTGGAAATCCAGGCACGCTATGTTCGCCTCAAATCAGAGATATCAGGGTATCGCGCAGTGTCAAATTGTAGTTTAAAAAGGAAGCTGGGTGTGGCGGTGGGCGTCCATCAGCTTTCGTCGGACCGCTTCCCCGCCGTTGTACCCACTAGCTTTGCGCTTGCGCGTGGGGGTGCGTTGGTCTGCATGGCGTGCATGTCTGAAGACGCTAGCAGGGCGAGAAGGCGAATTGGCCGGCATAAACTCCCGATGCTGTGGGAGACGCAACAGTGCTTGGTAGCGGTTGTGATTCCGGCGGAACGCGGTAACGATGCCACGGTCCAGGTGGTTTAGGAATCGTTCCGCACTGCTGGCCTGCTGGGAGTCGGCACCGCGATTAGGGGTCGGTGTGCCCGTGCCGAGTTGTAGGGGACGAGCAGTCATTGGCGACATCAGCGCTTCTTCGTCGAACGCCTTATCCATCTCGTCATCAGATGACCCATCACCGAAGTCAATGAAGTCTTCGACATTCAAAGCCGACTCCGGATCATCTTCATCGTCGTCCTCGAAAGAGCTATCGATAGCAAAGTCACGGGATGGATAGAACGCCTCAGGGGGGCCCATTACCTGACCCCCTGGAGCAATATCATTACCGAGGGCAGTCATCATAAGATTAGCACTTGATGCAAGCATGGGGCTCAGGTCTGCATGATTGGGCGATGCGAGGGCGTCCGTATCGCTTTCGTCGATAAGATGCATGGTAGTAGCCCGTGGACTGTTATGAGCAGTATTGCAGGCGCTATTCGTGGCAGATTCAAGCCAATCATGGCGAGAGGAGGCATAGGCAGGAATGATCACGAGGTGCTTGCCAGTGCAGTCGACAAGTGCAACAGGCTTATGAGGGTCGGCGACAAATGTCCCCATAATCGGTCCTCGCCGACGAGAAGTAGTTTCGCTCTTCTCATCACCTGTGGGCGCCAGCGAGGCCGAAGAATCCCGACGCAGGATAGATCTAGGATGCGTGATGGTGGCAGGAGGGGGAAGATCTTCATCTGTAGTCTCGCCATCATCGGCTTCAAACGTGTCAGCAAGTGGAATGTGCGGGGTTGACCAGCTTCATGCATACTTTCATAGCCGCTTGACTCCGAACCCTCGGAGATGGCATCGGATTCCACGTGGTAAATGTTGGAATGCCCGTAGTCTGACTCGGCATACATCTCCTCAGACTGACGCCGGCGGCGGGATAAATTTTCATTATCATTGTCGATCATGCGACGCAACTGGGGATCGAGACTATCCTGCTGGAGGAAATCGCTGGGGATCTCATCCTCGGTATGAGAATCACTATCAGACGAGGAGTCCGAGTCTTCCTGGAAGTGCACCCGGCGCGGCACCGGGGTCTCAATAGCAGTCTCGCTAGCCATGTCGGTCTCCCCGAAGGCTTCCATGGCAGTATAAAGTTGTTCTTCATCAAAGAAGGACGCACCCGACAGGATCATATGATCGTCGAAAACATTGGGACCGGCCCAAACATCAGCGCCGGGAGCTAGGATTCCGCCAACGGGATTTTCATTTTCAGACTCGACAATCAACAACTCTTCCAGCTTCTCTACATCCTGTTCCTCATCATCTGAGCCATCGCTGATGTAGTCCACAGCGGCATAGACATCATCTGAGCTTTCGTCAGAATCATTGTTATCATCGCTACTCCGTTGACCATCGTAGCCATCATCGTCGGAGAACTTCATCTTCTTTGTCTTCTTCTGTTTCACACCCGTCTTATGGGCCCTGTCACGGCGACCATAAGACGGGGCACGAACAGCTGGCTGTTCTTCCTCGTCATCTGCATCATCATCCTCGGAGTCATTTGCATCGTCGCTGAGTTCGCCAATGGATGAGACGGATGACACACTCGATACGGAGGCCGCTCTTCGCTTCCTATCAGCGTTCAAAGAACCAAGGGAGACAGCTTTATTGGACGTTCTCGGGGAACGACCCGCGGGGTTGTGATGGGTAGCCTTTGCGACACCCTGGGGTGACCGCTTCGGGGAGTTTGTTGTTGGCGCCATTATATCGTCAACAATAGGTATTGTTATATTGCTTCCTTGGGAGAGGTCTCTCAGTTGAATTGGGACCGACAAAGGTTAGGTAGCACTTGTTGGTTCGACAAAGTTTGCTACCCGTACAACCCGCCGCAATGAATCGATTGCGTCAGCGACTTGAGAAGACAGGTTCAGGGACCGATATCGTAAGGTAGGAGTTTTTCGGAGCGTTATTTCGTAATGGCGTAGAGGAAGGAAAGGATATCGTGATCGATGTTATAGACAGCGTGAGAGAGATCGGGATGAGGGGTGGTATATCGGTAGGGGTGGTGATCGGATGGAGGGGAGGGGAGGGCAAAAAAAAGGGACGATAGCAAAGACTTTTCGTAGACCGCAAAAGCACCTCACCGTCCAGAAGGGGACGTCAAAAGTGCTTCTCCTGTTAATGTACTGAGGGGCAATTCCGACGCTTGCCTGTTGTTGCGTCGAAAGAGGAACAGATAATCGTCAAGTCAATTGGAGATTACTCGGAGCTGCTGGACTGGGGAGCATGGAAAAGGCAGCCGTGCCCCCCAGCGAGGAATCTACAGCTCAGCGAAAGCCATCCTGGCACGGAACCCTTGACGATATCTGGATAGTATAGAAGGAGAAGAAGAGGGTCTTTTGAAGGTTGGATGGAAGGTGTTGTGAGAAGATTCTGCGACGAGAGTGGCAGAAGGAAGATGAGGGGTGGAATAGAGGGTAGGAAGGAGGAGGGAAAAGACAGCAGGGGAGAAGATCATCTATCCGTACGCCGTCGTACCGTGACGAGCAGGTTACAGGACGGAACGGCCTTGGATTGCCTGGGGCGGGCCAAATTTTCCAGTCAGGGTGGAGCCCGCCTCGGCCGGTCGCAGTCTGCGGGGTCATGATTGGTCAGGAACCACAAAAACAGTCACGCCCATTGGCGGGCAAGTGTTCACCGCATCTTTTTTTCTTTTTTCCTTTTTTATTCTTTTTTTGCCTGCAATCCACCCCAGCTGGTCTCTGCATTGAAAGCCAATCATTCGCGGGGGACTTGTAACAGCCTCGAATAGAAGGCGACAATGATATGACCGGTTTAGTACCACTTAGTCACGGCCTGTCCAAAGGAGGCAACAGAAGAAGTAATTTCCGCCTGGCAGGCTCTGACCTCCTTTCACTTAGTACTACTACTACTACTTTGTATCTAGTATTCTTTCCATTTCAAATGGTGACTATCTATAGCATACTGTTTCGGAATGGACTACGGCATGCACTCCGGCACGTCCCGGTTGTCGAACGAAGACGATCCTGAAGCACTTGGGTAGTCTTTCTTCGTTGGGTACCTGAAACTGCAGATGGCGTCGACGGGTCTTGCCATAGAAAGGGATGCTATTATGGGGACGGAGACGGCAAATTGGAAAATGAACAGCGCCTTGTGGCCAGGAAGGAATCCCACTACTACTAAGTTTCTGCTTGCCATCTATGACTTGGCCCGCTGTTCCGCCTGCCTAGTACTAAATCACCGGACAAATCATGGACAACGCTGGCGACGGAGTCACCCGAGGATTGAAGCATCGGTGACTCACTACTCCTCCGAGTTGGAGGCATCTATTCGCCTCCAGACGAGCGTTATGTTCGGAAACTCGAGATGAATCGAACACCTACCCAGGGTTGAAACATAACCATATGGCGAACCGATGCAGCATCCCTACGTATCACCCCTTCTGTTCCACCACTAGCATACATTTTTACAGACTTGTACAGTATGTAAGTAAAGGCAATCTGTTAGATCACAGGCATGCAGGCAAGAACGCAGATCGCACCCGAGCCTCTGATAAAGAATGAGGGGCCTTCTTTTTCCGAAAGTCGTGGCATGCAAAGCGGGCCATACTGTAAGAAAGGGGAGAATAAGCAAATCTCACAAGCCAAATTCCTGCCGCTAAAGGAAGGGAGGACAACTTTCTGAACCGTGCCCTCTGCACGGTGACATCTTCTCACATCATCTTGATAATGGCCGTCACTGTGTCGGCTAGATCAGCTGGTCCATGATTCATCGAATGCACTGCACTCATAGGTATGATTCATCGAGCGTGCGTCTAGACGCAGGAAACACGAGTTGGCTGCCGGATGGCCTGCACTCCTCTCTCAGGAGGTCGGGAGTAAGGGAGGATGACATGGATGGACCCGGATGGCTGGCCTTGATGAGCCACCTTACCGGATGAGGTCAATCCCACCACTCGGATTGGCCAAGCCCGGCACTGGCGGCTATGCCTTACCCGATATGAACTAGTCTGCTCATGGGGAGGAAAAGGTGCTGCCTCGCTGTTTTGTTCATTCTCGGGGTCTTCCTTGCTGCTCACAGTAGACTGCAATGGGCACGTTGATCGATTCCTATCGTTGGTGACCCTCTACCACACGAATTGGTTTGTCTTAGAGTATGCATCACTAACCATCAATGATTTCTCTAAGTCATTCCTACAGTTTAGCCTGTCATATTACTAAGCCAGCTGTCAGTCATACTTACAGTCAGTACGGAGTATAGCCGCTGAACATAACACGGTTAACTCAATTCCTCAGTTTCGAGTCCTAGTCTACCATTATGATCATTCTCAACAGGACCCTTATCTGCAAGCATCAATTGTTCCCAGAAAATCGCAGACACAAAATCCTAATCCTTTAGCATGGATATCCAGGCGCACGGATATGCGACAGAGCCTCGGTATCCGCGGCTCAGCCTAGACCTCCAGCCTTGGGCGGATGCATCAAGTTGCAGCAGACCAGATATCCACCAGAAGATCAAGGCATGATAAGTTCAATGAACAGCACAACATAGGGGTCTCGAGCGTCAATTAGACCAACAACGCAGTGGCTAAATCTCCGAGATTGCCGTACCACCTTTACCAGTTTGCAGAGATGGGCTATCCATGATGCCCATCCTGTATACATACTACCTCTTTTCATAGAGATAACTCATCCAGACTGACTCCGTAGGAAGGTAATCGGGAACATATAATGACACACGTGATAGTACTAATCGCCGACCGGATCGACTAAAATAGATCAAAGCGGAAAGACAAAAAAGCCACCGCATCAATAATCCCAGGAGGTCCGTGACATTTTCGGCATCATCCCGAACGGACTGGGCACTACTACCATACTGTGTACAAGCACCTTCTCTATCCAAGGCAAGATAGGTAAGTAGTTTCGGCTAGCCGTGAATTTGGCGCTACTATTGCTGGTTTGTTTTGCCTTGAATATTCCTCCGTATATCCCGTATATGAAAGTGTGGAATTTGGCTACCTTTCATTAAACAGAATCAGAAACTGCTCCACACCTTCATATCATACCCCTCCACAAAACATTCACAATTACAATGACAAAGGATCAACCCAAAGAAAAACACTCAGGTCCCCGAGCGCAGAGCAACAGACAATGATGATCTAGAATGAATGCAAAGCACCACACCACTTCTTCGAGACAGGTACATTAGTCTCATGTTCCCTTTCCTCGTTGGCTTGCGAAAGAGGGACAAGAACACTCAGGCATGAATTCTGAATGATGGATGGGTGGACTAGTAGCGATGCCTTTGGCATTCATACATGATGCATGCATGTTGTAATTGGCTCTAAACAAGCGGTAAAGGGACAGCTGGCTTGCCGCCGCTGCAACTACTGGAAACTCAGCCGGTTGGATGTATCGAGAAACACCCTACTTACTACTACGGGGCTGGCCAGCCAGCCAGCCAGCCAGCAACTCGATTCAACTACGACTGCTAATAATCATTGTTGTTGCTTACAGAGGTACTTGGTGCAACTAGAGCAGGTTTCTGCCACATGTGAAGTGCTGGCGGCTATTAATAATAAGTTGGTTATATTGCTTAATGTAGGTGGATGTACTGTGCAGCGGGAAATGGGCTGATAAGCAGCAGTAGCAGCAGCAGGTGAGGGGGGAAAACCTACTGTAAGTAAAGCTTTTTTTTTCGTTATTACTTACACATAGTAACATCATCACTCATGGCTCAATATTGATGCAAACCTATGTGCATTGCGAACAGTGATACACAAAACCCCCATTGTCAACTACTAACTAATCAATAATCCACTACTATGTACTAAGGGGCAAAAGAAGAGGGGGGAGAGGGGGGAACGTGGCCTTCCATTCCATTCTTCCAAGATTCTAGGTGAATCCGACCCAGTTAGTTATCGTTATCAAGATTGGGGGGAAATGGGCGATAGTGGATATTGAATGATGATGATGTTTGCAATTGCCCACTATTGTATGGTAACAGTAATACCATTGCATACAGCTAGTCCACGTCGAGCAGGATGCTAAGTGGGTCCTGATTACTCAAGAGATCGGCGCCCGTTGCAGACCCCATTGGTCAATGCGTGGCTACTTTTGGTTGTCTGATTGGCTGGGGTGGCTGCACCCCGCAGTCTCGTTGATTTTCCGCCTGGCAAAGCAACAGCAAAGCTAGTAGTCGTCGTCCAGCACAGCTGAGATAGTAGTAGTGTTCAGATCATGTGCAGGGGACTTTAATATTATTGTAGGGAGATACTTGGTCGCTGGTGATTCGAGTGATTTTCTACGTCCGGTCTAAGCTCCTGCGAGTCGCAGCATTGTCCCGGAAAGGGCGGCTAGACGGCAGAACTTCCAGAAGGGGGTACGGTTAGAAGAAAATGATGATGGAAGTATCTGAGATAAATGTTGCCACTCGGTCTGCCCGCAACTTGCCCGGTCCGCTCTTCAACCATGGGTCCGCGTGATGTTTGGGATAGGCTAAGTGATGTTTTCATTCAGTCTCAGAGGACAAGTGGCCGAAAGACATGAGGTTCATAACAGTAGATCATGGGATTAAAGACAACGAAAAGGTATCAAAATGACATTAAAAAGCAATTGCGCCATTCCAAGAGTGATAACAGTACCCTGTTCAGGTACCTGGGTAGGGTTCAATTTTCGGCCCTGCCGGTGTCGGTTTTGGGTCCGACCTAGGCCAGATTGATAGAATTGACTTAGATCGTTTTGGCCTGGTAGAAATATCGTCGTTATGTTCATTCTCCTTGTCCTTTGCATCGTTCGTAGGCGTGGCGGCCTCTCGTGCTTGTTGCACCTCCTTTACTCCTTGGCGGATCTCCGCCGCGGAAGCTCCTCGGGGTGCCGTGGTCGTCAGCGTCTCAGTATTGCGGATCTTCCCTTCAGGTGACTCGTCGTTCAGTTTACCAATCTCCTCTTCTGTGACAAGGCGCTCATTTTCGAGGCGAACCTCGCGGCCCCGTTTATGGCAATACCAGAGGACAAACAAAAGAACTAGTGGACATTAGTGATTCCGGATTCATCCTAGTCGTGTCAGGGCGCAACTTACTAAACAAGGCCATTGACCAGAGTACATTCATACCCAACACTGCGGGGAATCTAGCCCGTAAGAATGCCATTATGGATCGTAACATCCCTACAAGCGCTGCTGGCTTCCCTACTAGTTCTTTCAGGCTGGGAACCTTAAGTCCCATCTTGTTGGCGGCGGCCGCCGCCTTGCCTACATTGTCCACATTGATACCACTTTTACTGGCCTTCTCGGTGGCAGCCGCGAGAACTTCGGGGGCCAGCGTCTCAGTCCATTTTTCAGGCAGCTTCTCGATCAGGCTCTGGAGGAACTTCGGGAGATTCGAGTAAGTGCTTTGCAGTTGCTTGTTGCCGTTCTTGAGGAGCATCTCAAGATCATGATACGCAGTCGGAACACCATTGACCAAGTCCTTGAAGATCAATGTGAATTTACGAAGGAGTTCCCGTGTTTCGTCACTTATCGAGAATACGCGGTTGTTTTCGGCCGCCAGGTTGAGGCGCTCGAGGATTTCCGTCATATCCTCTGCCTCTTGTTTCGCTTCATCGTCTTCTTTAGCTTCAGGGGGCTGTACATCGCTTGAGGCACTTGGTGCGGGAGCTGCTTCGCTCGCGCTTTCGCTACCCTAGTCATCAAATAACAGTCAGCTATTTGTGCAGATACTTTAGTGGCGGTGTCATAGCTACCTTTTTGTCAACCGTGCTCTTCCTCCGAATCCAGCTCCAGGGCCTCTTCTTCTGCGTAGAGCTCTCAGCTTTGGAGCCTTGAGAAACACTGTGGGAGCGTTCTGTCTTCTCTCTAGTCTTCCGTTCTTCCTCCCCTAGCTCCTTTCCAAACTCCTCTGCCGGTGACACTGGTGATTGGGTAGTATCGAAGGTATCTGTGGGTACGGGAGAGACGGGCGATAGAGGGGTATCATTTTCGATGGTAGGTGATATCGGCCCTTGCTTTGCCGGATCGGAGGTAATCTCTCGTAGAAATGCTTCATCTTCGGTTGTTAAAACCGGTTCATGCGGTTGACGTTGAGACGGGCGTCTCCAGTTCTTCCACTGGGTGAATTGCTGCATGGCTATCTCGCTCCGCGCTTAATCGATAATGGTATATAAAGCCTATATAATATCTCTTATGTTTAGTGAAGGTTCGACAAGAAGTAAGCCAGCGGATAAAGGAGCCGTTCTTCACATTGCGATATGGCGGCCTGAACAAAGGACGGTGGACTTACCCCAGATATATAGTGGTTTCGAGACCCACCGGTTCCGGTGCACGATCAATATAAGTAAACTGTACACGCTTGGAGCTGTTCAACGTAGGGTTTTTTGCTCTTTTTGCAATTCATAGCCACCCTGAGCTCGAGAGTCGTTGAAATACAGCTCACCGAGCGAGTCAAGCGATGATATCACCGCACAAGACAGGTCACATGTGAAGGCACCCCGCTGGTGCCACAGTTTGCACCGCCACGATCTGGCTGGATCGGGAAGAGATCGGCTGCACCGCCGATCATTGGTCGATTCCTGTTGGTTAAGGCATCTACAATCGATCGGTTCCAATTGTCATTGCTTATTGTAACTCTTCTCTTCAAGTACTGCAGTCTACTTGTGTCGATATAATCATCAATTATTGCTTTGCTAGGTATGCAGTAAGAATGATCAAGTGTGCTCATCCATAACACTTCAATGGTCCAGCTAGCTCATTGTCTACTAACTCGTGAGAAAGTCAGAGCTATGTTGAATCCGCTGAATATATATCTGACACTCTCAAAATGACCAGCACAGCTACTATAAATTGAAGACATTATTCTAGATTCACTGAGCGATTGAGGACGCAAAGCTTTACAAATCACCTTGTGTCAGTCATACTTATGCAGTGCTCATTTTTGGAACCCACCAAGCCACTATGACTCTTGGATATTTGTCCACTCCTTCACCTTCTGAAAGTCCATCACCCTATACTCTCCTCCAAATCTGTTTTGCGTATCATCCCAATCCCGATTCACAGCTTGCTCAGGTCTCCAACGAACCGCAGCTGCAACCCTCGGGTCCATCTTACCTTCGAGCCGGTCAGCAATAAAGCTACCGATTGAAGGAATATGGGCGAATCCGCGACCGGATGCCCCAACCGCAAGCAGTAAGGATGGATGATCAGGATGATAATCTATAAGGAAGTTTCGGTCGACCGTGTCGGCGCACCAGCATATCCGGGCGAATGAAAAAGGTCTCTCCGCCAACTGGGGCATCGTTGCTCTCAGGAGACCGCGGATTCGCTCAGCCGACTCAACGGGGATCTGATGACGTGCAAAGGGAACGCTTCGCCGTTCGCCATCTGGGCCGACAACCTCAAAACGCTCAAAGTTCTGGCCCGTGGATCGATTCAATGGAGGAACCACAAAAGAAACAAAGTTGGGCCACACCTTTCACCCATCCGCGCGCGCGCGACCCCCCCCCCCTTGAACTACTAGCAGTGATTTAGAGTGGATTCATCGCGGTTGGGGGAATCAATAGTAGTCCGTGGCTCTGTCTCAATCGGGATAAGCCTGGGTGACAGCGCCAGGCCAAGCTTCCCACTTTCGCCTCCCCAATTCTTCAGACTTGAGACACAAATTGGACTTTTACGCAAAATGGCAAGTCGACAGGCGAAACTATGGGATGGAAACATGGTACCGGGACCTACCAAGTGTCCCAGTGCGCAGGGTGTGGATTAGCCACTAAGGTTATGAGGCGTCTACTTTAAATGACCAACCGCATTAAGAGGCAATCAAATGTTAGCTTGGTAGTAATAGTAAGTAGTAGCTACTGTATATGCTGTGGGTAAAGGAAGAACCCAGCCTGCAATTCGAAGGTGTATACGCAAACATTGCTTACTGTCAAATACTCACTTACTCACTTAGTAGTACGTATGTATGGTGTTGGGGATGAGATTGCAAGCTGTGAGGGGGGGTTAATTACAAATCTCCCGGTCGCAGTTTCTCACACGAGTCTCCAATTTACAACCTACAGTATACCTAAGTGGTAGTAGTATCTTGCCTCTTTTCTTTTTTAAATTATACTTACTCCATCCGGGGTTCCTATTTGAGGGAAAAGAGGGAAGAGGAGGAGGGTGAGTGGGAAAGGGACGCATCATCAGTGAGGCGTTGCAGAAGGGGGCGAGCGAGCGACGAGAGTTTCCCTCTCACTTCTTACTCCATCTCTATCCGTAGTCTACCTTCCTGGTTCGTATCCACTGAACACACACACACAAACAAGTCCTGCAGTCAATGGCCGAGGAATACTACCTACCTATGAGAAGCGTCTCAGACTGGTGTCTTGAATCCTGGCTCATATTCATATGCAATAATACTATATTCTGTACCTAGGGTTGTTTCAACACACACCCGTCCCCGTGCCCCCCCTGAGTCATTCGCAATGCTTTCCTTAATCAAGAATATGCCACTTGTGATAGTAGTAATATCTACTTGGCTTTATGGGCCAATAGAGATCGCGATCACACTACTTACTACCTACTGTAGTATCTCTTCCTGACGCATACGCATGATACTTTCCAACCCTCTACTTACTTGACCTAGATCCGTATTCAGCTCCGTTTCTCGGCACGGAAATAACGGTAGGATGAGGATGATGATTACGGGCAACTTCAGACCGAGAGGGTTCGGTTATTCCATAGGGAGTAGTGTAGTTAGACGACCTACAAATGCATATCCCTTAACATTCTCGTGACGGGTAATTGATGTTGTGATGGCCGACTTCGGGGTTGGGTTGTTGCTAGTTATGATGCAATTGGCGGCGGCGGCGGGCCAGGAAATGCCACCAAAGTCCGCTTACACACCTCAACTACAGTACTACTACTACAAACACTCTACGGTCGCAGAGAACCAAACTAGTACTACACAGCAAGTAAATAATACTAATAATCATAATTAGAATACCGGCAGGAGTAGACGAATTTCTTTTGCAATGAGAGAGGCAAATTGATCTATGCGCCTATGTCTGGTCTTTCCAAATACTCCTATCTATCTATCCATCTATCTATCTATTCTACGCAATTGCTCATTCTCGGGCAACCAGGAATTGCTTGCTTGCTTGCTTGCTCCACCAGAAAGGAGGATGTGGGATTCCCCGAAGAGGCGAGCCGAAATCGCTAAATGGAAAAGGAACGATAGGTATGCGCGCGGGCTGGGCTTGTACGGAAGTTGAAGAGGCCCAAGCGGGTGTGCATTGCGTAAACTTCAGCAAGAATAATCCCGCGACCCGAGATTGGAGGGGACGGGGGGGAAAAAGGAAACTGTAGGTTGGGTTAAAAAAAAAAAAAATGAATGATGAAATTTTTGTTCGGGGCTATTTTTGGTCGAAAGGAATGGGTGATGAGTATCTACGGAGTAGACAGAGAGAATGTGTGCATGTATTCAGGCAACCTATACAACAAGAATCTAACGATTACTATAGGATCAAATCAGAAAAGGTACTTTTGGCTGACGACGACAACATCTGAGACGCAGCTTCAGATGGTCACACAAAACTTGAGGTCCAGTTCCTTTCAATGGGGGGGTGTTTGTTTGAAAGAGCCCAGCTCCCGGCTTGGCTGATTTGCCTCTTGACCGCCGGATCCGCTTTTTCTGGGCGGAACCGTGCCTTTTTAGAAAAGAAAAAAGCGCCACCCATGTAGAGCGCCAACCATCCGGATCTCACCGCTTTTCCTATGGCTGTCAACCACATCCCCCGGGGTCTCCAACAACAACAACTAAAGGGGAGGGAGGGGGGGAAGAGGATGGGAGGAGCCTAGCAGCAGCAGCAACGCTCACCTCGACTCAGTCCACAGATACATAGACTCCATACTCAGCAGCGAGACTTGTGTAAGTTCCCATCAAATCCGTGCCTTAGCGGCATAAGGTTTGCCCTCTTTTGCAGGGATTGCACCTAAGCCTATCCCGGCAGCTCGTAAACTACCGAATGAGGAAGCGCACCCACCCCCTTGACACGGCACATCATCCCCAAAAACGCGTAACTGGACCCAGAAACGGTCGGCCAATCATCAGCCACAACCCACTTTGAGGGGGGGAGTGGGAGGGGGCCCGTCCTGACCCTTTTTTCCCCTAAACCATTGCGGGGAGTCCCGATCGGGTAATCCGGTGGGGAACCCTTTTCCCAATTGCTCTCTCCAAAAAGAAAAAGAAAAATCGAACTAAATCAATCAGTCAGTCAGCTCGTACCGAGTCGGGGCCAAATTGGAACGGAACCGCTTCGCCTTCCTCATTTGCTGTTTGGCTTTGTGGTCTGGCCTTACCAGCCAGCCTTCTTTTCCCTAGTACTACCTACCTTAGTCTCTGTCTTGTATAGCTCCAGCCTACTTAGTAGTACGTACTTACCTCCTCTGTAGGTTGAAAAGGCAAAGCATCAATCACTAGTTCGGTGGCAAAAAATCATGGCTTGAGCAGAAGCAACAATAGGAAAATCTACAAAACCAATTGGAACTCTCGGGGAAAGACACTCTATTCTCCGGGATTGGACGGTAGTCTGTTCCCCCCGAAGCCAAGTTTCCACGCTTTTTGACTTTGGTGACAGAAGCATCGACGCAAAGCATGGAGCACATCCAACATATGGGCAGTAGTAATAGTATCGCCAATTGGATATGAGCCATACACAGGAAGTAGACTACTTTGCGGTGGGTAAGTAGGGCCCTTGCACCTCTTCGCTAATTAGATGGTTGGTGTACTCCATCGTTGCCGGTGAGTTCATTCATTTCTTCCACCTTAGGCAGAGTTCATATCCGTCGTGTTGTTATAATTAGGACTTTTTAATTTCGCTTCTTCACTGGGCGGTGGATAAACAACGAACGTCTAGACTGGCTATACACTTGACTATCGGCGCCAAGGGACATAGAACCAAGAGCATTTCCGAGGATTCCGAGATGAAAGGAGAAGGGGCAGAATGTTTACCAAGATGCCCTGAATACTGTATACTACGTATTGATAGAGAGTTAACTATCATTGTCAGCAAGTAGATAGCAGTAGCAGTAGTAGTGTAAACTAAATCTACCTTTCCACTCCGATCAGATAGAACATCACGACCATCATCAACAATCTTGAACTCGGCATCTCGTCGATCATTCTGACGTCGGCAATAAATAGCCAGCCAGCTACCAGCTAGCTAGATCAATAGATAGATAAGTGGCACCAAGCATCCTCTCTCTCTCCCAATCACCAACCCACGCCAACATCGAAGCAATAATCTAAAATCCCTATTTCTTCAGGAACACGGACGATCGTCATTCAAACTGCGGACCCCTACCTACCACACAGCAAAGCCAAGCAGCAAAGTATCTAGTAGCAGCACACACTACAGTAGGACTATGGAGTCGAACTAATAACCCTAAGTAAGCATAGCAGCCATTAGCAATCAAATTTATCAACCTAGAAGCTGGGCAACGAGTCAGGCATTTCCTTCCTTCCACCCCTTTTTTTGTTTATTTTCTTTTTTTATTATTATTTTCGTGGGGGTTTTTTTTTTTTTAAACACCATCTGTCAATCTGCACGGGGCTCCTTTCTTGGCAGATCCCACACGGCAGATCGTCGTTGATTGGCATGATGGCGTTTTGGGCTTACTTTGCTGCTCCTATCTTACTGTAGGTACTACTATAGATGTAAGTATAGCATTCTTAGGTCAGACTATACTATAGGGAAGGAAGGGAAGGAGAAGAAAAGGAGGGTACATAAGATTAGTGCTGCGCGCTTATTTTCTTGTTTCAACGTAAGGAAACAAATAATGAGGGTATGGGAATTGTATCATGTGCCATAGATACGAGTACATACGAAACTACTACTAATCTACACCCCAGTAGTAGTAGCACTCCATAGTGAACCGCCCACGGAAAGTCAAAAGCGAGATATAAAACAGAAAAAAAGCACTACTACGAAACTTAACTTCAGCTCCATCTGTAGGTATCCATAGATCGCATCGATATATCTCAACTAAATCCCTTCGATTACTCCCTAGGAACAAAAACCAGATACTCGAGATTCCCGCGGGAAACCAAAAAAAAAGAACCCCGAAATTAAAACCCCAAGAACACCGAATAGCGGAGCTGAATAGTAGGACGTATAGCCATGGGACGTGGGGACCAAGACGAAGAGGCAAAAAAAATTATATACTAAAAAGTAACTAGAACATGAAATGAACTTTCCATGAATCTTCTTTTGCAATTTTAGGTGTAGCGTTGGCGTTGGCGTTGGCGTGCCAGCTTCTTTTCTTTTTCGCCCTCGTAATTCGGGAACCCTAAATGAGATGAGATTTTATAGTTTGGTTTGATCGGTATCTCTACTAACTAACTAGTGGATTTTTGGGTCGGGGAGGGAGATGAGGGGAGGCGCGCGGCGTGCTGGCGTATATTCTCTTTTGGAGTCATTTTAGATGGGGGTTTGTGAAGGTTTGTTATTTGGAGGTGATGGTGGTGGTGGTGGAGGATGGGTACTACTGTAATCAGTGAGTGGTTCGTTCCCGTGGCAGCCCATACCCAAATTTTTGACAGTCCCCCCCCCCATTAGCGATGGATCCCTTGTCCAATCGTTCATATTGGTTGGTTCTTCATCCACTCAGCTCGCAAGCCCACTCGCTCGCTCCTCCTCCTCCTTCCCCTCCCGCGTTGTTCCCTCGCAAGCTAACCTTTTTGGGGCTTGCATGGGTCCGCGGATGTGGATGGAGAGGGACTGGCTGACTTAGTAGGAACGAACCAGAAAATAGAAAATCAAAACGGGAAATGCAAGAAAAGAAAAATCCTAAACGGGTAAAAGTGGCGTGGGACCACAGTTCGAAAAAGGAAGCCCCGCCAAGATGAGAATGAAAGGTCATCCATCAATCAATTCAATCGCGGCAAAGCGAGAAAATCCAGTTCCCGTGCGGTAGGGAACTGGACTACTACTTGCGCTTTGCTTTGCTTTGCTTACACTTACTTACTGTTGTTAGTACTTTCTAGACCACTTTTTTAGCCAATTTACGGAGGTGCTCTAGATGTGTCTGTGTGTTCCTGTCTTATGTGTCCCACTCACTAACTATTGCGCAATTGCAATAGCAATGTGTCAGAGGAACCTGAGTTGTTCGATTGATTTCCTGATTGGTTCCCTACCCCGATATACCACCGCGACTCAAACCATTCGGGAGATCCACATCCGCTTAATTTACAGCCCGATGGAAATGTAAGAAGTTAAGCAATCTGCGTCACAGGTAAAGAAAGTAAGCAGCAAAAGCATTTGCCGTGAGATTCCGTTGCCTGTACATGCATACATACATACATGCCTAGAATGAGGACTTGCAAGTCTCGGTGGGAAGTAACTCCATCCAACAGAAGAAACAGAAACAGACAGGAGCCATGGGCGGGTCAGACCTGGTTTAGCGTGCAAACTAAGATCCAAACGCAACGAGCAGAAATCACCAGTCACGCTATTGGCAAACCACGCTATGATTCAATTTTCTCAATCCCTGGACTAAGCAAAAGCAGGGAGGGCATGTTAGCCACATCCCCGGGGGACGGCAGATAGTCGATAGCCGAGCTTGGCTCATACAGATAACCCAATCATAGATGAGGCCCCACAGGAGCTGACGCGTGCACATCTCACAGCGCTATACCTTCTTAGGGCGGTGCTTTGCCCGTTTCAGTATATGGTTTGTTGTCAGCAAGGGTTTCTTTTGTCATCGTTTTATCATATCGAATTATCATAGTTATTGGATGGATATAATTTACGCAGTGCGCAGGTCCTGCAAGCGTGCTTTTCTTGAAAAAAAATTCACCAGAAATCATCTAATTCAATATGTTCTGTAAGTACTTACCCAGCACAGTGGTAAGTTTTTGCTTTTCGCTTGGTTACAGATAGAATCTAAACCAGACAAATGAAAAAGATAGACATTACCCAAACAACTCTAATTAACTCTGTCTAAAAGTCAAGAAGTTAAAGCCCGTATCGGCCTCCATTCTGAACCCCGCAAGCCCGTTGACCAGAATCCCTGCGTGCGATCCTGGCGGGCTCCACCACCCACCAGGACACTGCCACTCTCAGGGTTGTGGGCTAGCAGCCACCTGAAACGCGCCGGCTCATTTCTTGGCCCTGTCGAAAGGGTTGGTCAAAAATGAAGTTCTAACGCCAGTCCGGGCTCCACCGGGTTTACTCTTCAAGAACATGTAATTGAGCTCTGGTTGGCTTGGCCATGATATCACTTCCCCCCTCCCCTCTCTTCCGTGGGAAGTTACGGAAGGGCAGGGCAATGGATGGATGCCACCACCGTTTGCTGCCAAAGAGACTACGCTTTTCTCGGAAGGTCGTAATTATTGCCAGCATCTCGAACGCAACAATCTTATTTTTCTTTTTTATTAAACGGTTCTAATAATAACAATGGTATTATCCAAGCGTCAGTGCAATGTCCTGTTTCGTTCTAGATGTTTTTTTTTTTTCTTTTTCATTGATTCTTATTCACACACACAACATAGGGAAAGCAGAACCCGAACCCGACTTCTACTACTAGCTACTGCATACTTACGACTGGGATGTGAGGTGATAGTTTCAGGGGTTTGTTGTGTGGGTGGTAAAAAAGTAAAAGCAGACAGGTCTAATGCCAACATCCCTGACCGTTATCTTCAGCTCACCTGACAGCATACATCTGTGCGCGGTGGATGTACTCCAAACTCTGTACCACTACCACCACCACCCGAGGGAGGGGGGAAGAGCCACCTACGGAGTATCTACCTCCTACACTACGGAGTACTGCTTCTTATTTGTGCGTACAGCAGGAGATGTACGTAACACTTCTATCCGTACCTACATTTGCGGGGATTTCCGACGATATCCCTGAGACAAGACAGGCCCAGACAAGACGTGCACGACACATGAGACATTGACATTAGGGCGGCGGACACCGAAAAGGGGAAAAACCAAAAACCGCCACCAGCAGCAGCAGCAGCCATGATGCTCCGTAGCGTAGGACCCTGAATGAGAATCAAACCGACTAAGCTTCTTGCGACAGCCGCGTCTCTAGGATCCCCCCGACGGGACAGAAACGAGTCTAGTGTGCAGGAAGTGGAGCAAGCCACCATCACCAACCCCCTTGGCGGGATGTCACAAAAGGTGATGGATGTATGGTAGTGACTCAGTCTGTGTGGGTGAGAGTCCTCGTGAGTATCAACCACACACTAGAGATAGACAGATGTCATCCCGCAGACCAGTATGCGTCATTGTCATCTTTATTGACTTACGAATCTGAAACACTCTTGATGGGATGAGTTTATCTGATTGTGTCTCGAGTTGATTAAATCCGAGTTGTGTGTGTCCTCTTTTTTCTCTTTCCAAATTATCATTTATATTATTATCATTATTTTTATTATTATTATATTAAAATGGAGCCGCGGATTTGAAATCGCCAACGGCACATCGGGTTCAAACTAGTTCCTAGCGCTTGATCAATGCGTTCTCCTGCGGAGTGATCCAACTCCCAAAGTAAGTACGTAGTAGTGCGCGAGCGGTGCCATGGATTGAATCTGCGTTTTTAATTTCTGATGACCTTTTTTTATATCTTGTTAATTGAAATTTTAAATTGCCATTTTTCTTCTCTCTTTTTCTATTAATATAACACTTGGTTATAAGAGGACCCTGCATTCGAAACTAATGCCAAGAAAGGAAGCTGTTAGACGTCATAACCTCTCGTGTCGTGGTCTCTCTTAACTCTCTCTTTCTTTCTTTCGGTTCACTACTTCATCGCTAAACTACAGTAAATAAATAATTAGTGGGCATTCGACATACCTTAATCTCTCTCTTTACAGGGGTCGGGGAGGAGAGAGACAGAGAGGGTATGAGATTGAAACAACACGAAAGCTAGTACCTAGCCTACCAAGACCTCCTTCCTCTCCCTCTTCCTTCTCCTCATTTGGATCCAATTCGGCTTCACATGTTCCCTCGGAATCGCAAACAATTGATCCTTTTCTTTTCTTACTTCCAAACCAAGCTTTTGTCATGCCGAACAATAAACATGACTAAGTCGGAAATGAACATTGTAGATAACTACTGCTCCGTAGAACAAGGGATAATGAATGATGGCGCACCAGCCCACCTTGACTTATTACCAACTACAGTACTACTCTGGAAATAATTTCCACAAATCTTATCCTATCAATCCCGAGCTAAAAGTAGGGTTGCATCTGAGGGGGGCAGAGAGAGAGAGAAAACACTAGTCAGTAGAATGGAGCAGGGGCCCATGTGGTGCAGAAAAGAAAAAAAGAAGGGGGCCTAGGCACAAAATGAATTATTCATTTATTTTTTTTGTTCCATTCCTCATGCAGATAGATGTATGCCCAATGCTAATTGCAATTAATGTGATGACGACTTCAGCTGCATGCACTGCCTGCCCTTTCTTTTTCTTTCTTTTCTGTTTTCCCGGCACGGAGTACAGTAGTCCAACTGCATGTGTGCCTGGATAATATGGTGATAGTGATGGAGATGGGGAGATGGGGAGATGGGATCGATCATATGCTTGTTGCTGGTTATACTTCCTAGGTTAGCTTACGGAGGTGTTGAGGTACATGGTGTGATTAAGTTTCCGATTGTGTGTGTTTTTTAAGGCAGAGGCAGTTAATTAAGGCAACTTTTGAAACTTTTCAAAGAGGTATTGTTGATGTCTGTGCTTTAGATTCAGTTACTTGACTTGGATGTCTGATGTCTAGACAGTTAGTAGTTACTGTGAACACAACTCCTCCGAACCAATAACTAGGTATTCTTCGTTAAGTCACCTCCGATGTTCAACTGCGCTTAGGTCATCATCATCAACATTACCATCGTCACTAACTGAATAGTTACAGCGCTCAAGCCTCTTCACAACTATCTAGCTAGCTATCTACTGTACTACCATCACTGAACACCACGATACAATCTATAGAATAATAGAATAGAATACCAACCGATAGAACCAATCATCCACAATTCCCAAATTGGAAAAAGCACCTCCCACCAAGAATGTCATCATAATCAACATATAGAAATAGAACTACTACTTACTCCTCTATAGACCTACCTGAATAGGCAACTCAACTAATCTCCAAGGACAGATACTACTAGTAAGTTGAATTGGACAAAAGCTGAAGAGACCCACACCCACCACCACCATCTCAGTCATCATCCATCATCCATCATCTATCATCTCATCCCGTCATACCAAAAAGCAAACTAACTAACGAGTCCATTGACCATTGACCCTCCCCACTCACTCCCCCCCACCACCACCACCAACCACCCCCAACC